GCTTGTACGTAGAGCAGAAGTAAGATGAAGCAGGCCACACTGCAACCAAACAAAACGTGGCATATGAATGTCCGCGCAGGGCTCCCAGCTACCTTCGTGGCGGTTGTTGTCCTACAATCTCGGGCGTCAATGAGCCAAGGTCAAACTCTCCAGTGTGGCGTGCAGCACTGTGGATTCTGTCGGGTAATCGGTATAAACTGGGCTGTCCAACATGGCTTGGCCAATGCCAACGACCAAAAAAAGGATGTCTTTTTTGAGGGAACCTCCTTTTTTTTGTGGCTTTAAGGAGAAACCACAAGGAACATGTTTTAGTCTATTTGTTTATACTATTTGGGGGGGGACCCCATTTTAATCCATTTTAAGACACACCCACCTGGACGTCCGATGGACCTAGCGCAGGGACTATGCCCTCAGCTATGGCTGGAGCCGGTCGCGCAGCCTCAGCCGCAGCCTCGGCCAAGGCGATAAGCTCACACTGGGCACTGGGCGGTCCAAACTAATCCCCTGCAACAACCTTTAACTTTTAGTGAGCCTCTGAAAAAACAGCCTTAACTTTTCGTCTGGACAAACGAACAAGCCAATATGGGGGGATTCCCTTGGCGCCATTTCCAAGGTGCATTTAATGGGGGGGAATCCTCCCGTATCCCTGGTTCCCTACGGTGAGCCTCTGGACCCTCAGCCAAAAAAGCCGAAGAACTGGGACCCGAAGCTCCGAGCTGGGCAGAGACCCAGCCAGCTGTTTGCTATGTTGAAATCTGTCCTTGCCCCGGCTTAGATTTCGTCTATGCTTTTTTGAAGGAGACCCCGGTAAAAAGGTTCTAATTACATGAGTTCTAGGACGCATGATCGTCCCTCACAAGCTGCCCGTTGATCGGACTCCGTTTAAACCAGATCGGGAATCCCAGGTTTAAAACACACTCAGAGTAAAGTGCAACCTAGAAACCGTGGACTCTTTTAGAGGAGCTCCTTGCCCGGACTGAAAATTGGATTTTCCATGCCCAACCCCACGAACATAGCATCTGTGGAAGGGCACCTGGAAGTTGTTGTTTTTGTTTTTAATCTTTTCGGGACCCCCCACCAGGTGCCAGGCGCAACGTGGGAGGAAGTGTCATGTAAGTCGCTTCCTAAGGAACTCGGGCCCCGGCGGTTTGGTCTCGCAGCTGCTGCAATCGAGCCGACAGCTGGGCCAAAGCGCTGGCGTCCTAAGCAGAGATAACAGGAAGCTTTGTTGATTCTTGTTTCCATCAGTTGTTGTTTTTCTCTTTCTTTTTGGGGGGGGGGCTGAGGTTTTGATATCCGTTCTCCCTCAGCTAACACGGAAGCTCCCAGAAGCCCTCTGTAAATGAAACCAAGTCTTCCATTTCGGAGTAGGGTAGTCCGGATGAACAAGACTTTGTGATGGCACGTTCTCCTCTATGGTTTGGATGCGACTCTTGTGAAAGGATTATTGAAAAAGGATCAAGAGGAGGAAGAACAGGAAAATCCGCAACTTACTTCCGATCGAGTTGGCCAAAAAAGGTATCCAAACTTGAAATCGCTAAAATGGTTCAAACCCAAAAACGTTTCAAGTCCAGGAACTCGGGAAGTGAGTTTTGATGGCAGGGTGTCCTCTATGTAAGACAATGTGGGGATGACCAGACCAACATAGGAAACAGTTACTCTGTGGCCACCTACTTCACACCGTGGATTTCCAGGTTGCCTTTGTGGAGGAAACGCAACGGTTGCTAACCCCCCTCTCCCCACCCCCCGCCCCGCAAAGCAGAGGCATCTAACCGACAGCCATGGAGGCTGACTGGTCACAACGGTTGCTAACCCACCTCCCCCCACCCCCCGCCCCGCAAAGCAGAGGCATCTAACCGACAGCCATGGAGGCTGACTGGTCCCCCTGTTTGACCGGAAACCGACCGCCAATAGATTTCCCACCTGCAGTTCTGGGGAGCCTGGCATCAAATGGCCACCTGGGATTGGAAAATGCACCAAAAACGCGCAAAGGGAATTCCCCTTCAAACAAGCAAACACATCCACAGGATGCAAGGGTCCCAAGAGTTCACACACGCTTCGCGGAGCGCCCGCAAAGCGCTGAGGTCAGGCAGGCAGCTGAGCGCAGGGCGTGGGTTTCCTCTAGGCTGAGGCTCTTCACCTCGGATGTGAGCACCAGTTCGGAGCGCCGCGTTTGGTTTTTCTCTCGCCAACTTGAGAACAGGCCACATGCCCGTGGGAAAATGGTTGTGCTTTGCCATCCAGTTTTCCTTGTTCCTCGTTCTCTTTTGCAATCTGGCTGCGGCTAAAGCCGCAGCCAAGTTGCAGAACAGTGCTGACATCCTGTGACAGTCCTGCAGCCTGCTTGCAGCACGCCCTAATCGTTTTCTGTCCCCTAGTAGCCTAGCACTGGTGGTAAATACCTTCTCTTTTTGGGTGCGCGTGGGGCAATCCCTCCAAAACCGCCCAGTGAGGTTGCCAATGAGTGCAAATACATGCCAGAAGGCGAACTCAAAGACAAACATGGCCTACCATCACGGCCACATCAGCAGCCGAGCAGAAGCTACAAGGCCAGGCAAAGGAAAGGTCGCCGCAAAGCAAAAACCACCAAAACGGCCATGCTGTATCTGCTTTGAGGCCATGTCTGTAATGCCATGTCAGATGCTTCAAGACTAGGTCCTCCAGTGAAGTTAGAACAAGGGTGCCAACTTTGTTTCTCTATTTTAGAAAGGGAACCCTCCCAACCAAACAAGGGGTGAGAAAGGGCAATGGCGGGGGACCTAGTCAAGACATTGGTCTTGTCGATAATTTCTCCTGTCCCAGGCCTCGAATTGTTTCGCGCCCAAGACCCGACAAGCATTTTGTTTGGACACACCGAAGGCTTCATGAGCCTCACATGGGGTGGCCTGGCCCCACTATTTACAATTATCACAGTCACCCCCCAAGTGGTAGGCTAAAAGGAAACCACCGGATGACCCCCAGAAATGGTCAAAATAATGAACCCAGGTGGCACCCCTCAATTCGGAGCTTCCAACCAGATTCCCTGCCCCCTGCAGGATCTTCATCTGTTTGAGCAGCCCCCAAGCCGCCGGCAGCTATCTCTGGCACCTGGACATTGGCGGCAAGGGGGGGGGGACCATCATACCATGAGAAGAGTAGCTCCAACACAACAGGCAAACACAACAAGCTCCCTCACACAAGCAGCTCCACACAACAAGCTCCCTCAACATTCTCCAAACTCAAGAAATACCCTGAAATTCTTCAGAACTTCATAAATGCTGATCAGTTAAGCTTAGCCGTTTCCCAAACTGTGCAATTCCGCCCTTCCGCATATGAAACCGACTACAAGATTTCTTGAAAGGGAAATGGCTCCCGAGGGATCTTCAGTCAGGAACCAAAGTTGGTTGGTGGAAGGGTGGCGGCTGCGAGCTTACCCTACGTTTGTTTCCCTGTGTTCTCCATTCCGAGTTTGCGTCCACATAACCTGATTCTGCAAGGAATGGCCTATGCGAGCTACTCACGCGGCTTCCACAGCATTGCAAACTGCACTAACGCACACTCAATCAGTCAAGCCTATTTCAAATGCGCTACTTCTTCCTCCAAGCTTGCTTCCGGATTTCCTCCTTGTCGGTTTGCACTTTTTGTCTCACTTTTCTTGTCATGCATTTTGTCGGAGACCATTCAACGAGCCCTGCACCTTGTTGGAGACCATGTGCAGTTGTCACCGGGGGGTTGTTGAATGTTAGTTTCTGCGCGGGAGGCACGGCAAAGCAGTCAAAACGCAGGGGCAGATTGAACGCATAAACGTTTGTGACTCTGAACGCTCGCACATTGACATGTGTGTGTGTGTGTGTGTTTGGAACTCCCATTGCTAAGAGCGTATGACACACACAAATACGCACTAGCGCACTTTAGGTAGCCAGAGGCTGACACTCCATCAAGCATCCTGTGGTGAAGCGTTCGCCGTCGCGCTGCCCATTTGGCTTGTGCCGGACAGGTTAAGTTGGCCCATTCTGAAGACATGTGGGTGTTTTCAGTTAAAACTCGTATGCAAATCACAGCCAGCTAGCAAGCTCCTAGTGCAAACCAGCATCCAAGGGGCAGCTACCAGCATGGATATGCAGCGTGCTCTGTCGGTCTAAGGGCAAGGCTATGGCCGAAAACTCTTCTAAGAGAACCCCCCATCAAATTCCAGGTGTCCCTAGCATAGGTAGACCCCTCAAGGTCTTACCGCACATCCGCCAGAAGCTCACCACGGCCGGCCCCGGCTAAAGTGGCAAACTCGGCACACGCTATCCTAGGTCAGAAAGCTCTCCGATTTGTGAGAAGATGCTGTTGTTTTGCAAAGGCATTGGCCGAAATGCACCCTTGACTGAAAAACTGCAACATGGAGCGAGGTTCCCGAATTGGGGGGCTGACGTGCCACGAAGCTCTCCACCCGCGCCAGCCGCCTCACCGGCGCCGGGAAGCTGCGACTGGGCCTTTGCCACCGCGGCCTGGACGAGAAGATTTCGGCTCACTTGTCGGGACCTTCGACAGAAATTTGGGGCTTGAACTCCGAATTCCTGTTGCTTCCCGCTTCCTGTTGCTTCCTGCTTCTTCCGGCTCTTTGGAAGGCCCCGAAAACAAGAGGCCCCACAAGGGATTTGCTGAACTCCGTCCTTCCGAGGAAGTTCTGGCTCGAAAGAGGTCTTGGCGTATCACCTTTTGGGACCTTGTTGCCTTTGTTCCAAGGACCGTTGGACAAATTAAGGGAAAGCCTTTGGGACCTGTTGACCAAAGGCCGGAAAAAAAAACCCATTGGGGTCATAATCCGGGCCCATCCGTGGTGAATTCGGAGGCAAGTCTCTCCCAATGGGATACAAAATTGTCGGCCTGGGGGGTGGGAGCGAGCCGTCTATTCTAAAAACCAAAAAACCAAAGCTCCAGAACAAATTGTTTGCCCCCAGGCGTGTTTCAAGAAATCAAGGAGTTACATGGAGAAACCTCTGGAGAGTTTCCCTTGCTACGTATTTATCCGTCGCCGCGAAATTTGTACTGCTTGATCCCGAGGCGATGCGAGTGGCGTAATGTTGACTCCAGATTCATCAATCTCAGTTTATCAATGGGGGGGTGTCTCAGGGTCTGATGGGGAACCATCACTTTTGGAGGGGAACCCGCCGGCTGGTAATCGGGGTCAACATTACTTTGCAACTTCCGTGCTGCTGTGTCTCGCCATGCCGTCCTTGAGCAAAACCCCAACAGTGTCACAGGAACTGCTTGAATCGGCTTGGGCGACATTCCAGGACGAACACGCCTAAGAATCATATGAGCGATCAAACTTTGTTCCCCCCAAAAGGATTGGGCATTTCGTCTTTTTAGAGTCACCTCTTTGACTCGCCTGTGCCAGACTGCCCACCCCTTTGCCCAAATGGGACCATAGACCAATTCTGACCACATGAGGTAAAGCCCTGCCATGACAGTTGTGTCTGACCGCTGGTCCCTCTCTGAGCCGCCGCTATTTTGTTGGGGCTGCCACAAATTCGCAGCACGCGCCGAAAACGAACACCGAAAGCCAAGCCATGCGTTCCGAGCCTTGGCGTCTTTCAGCTCCGCCAGTTCAGCTTCTATGCGGTCCATGACCTCAGTTGCGAGCAGGTTGAGAGCGACCAAAAAGTGAAGGACAGCTGGGACGAAGTTGGGTGGGGGGGTGGAGGGGGTGGTTGGGGCTCTGGGTTGCCCGGAAATCACTTCTACGGTTCCTTAGTGGTGCGACCGGGATCCTTGCCTAAGGGCTGATCGACATGCCATTCACATGACCCAGTCTTGGTTGCTGGCGAGACCCCCCTGCATTTGCTTTTTTTACTTTTTGGGGGTTTAGTGGAAACCCCTCTTGATTTCCACCCAAAAGTTAACGTCTTAAGATCCAACCCAATAGCAGTCAAGCAGTAAGAAGCGATTTGCTTCTGCAAAGGATCTGTCTCCGTGCAGGTAAGTCTCTGGGTAACCTGCTACAGGTGACTGGTAAAAGCTCCAAAGGCAGCTCATCTAGCCCTGAGTCTATACATGCGATGGATCATTTGGCCAGGGGCAGCCTTTGAACCACAGCACAGAATTAGCTGGTTCTGAAAAGCGACGCGCTCTAAATATCAATGTTCGCACATGTTTTGCCCACCTTTCTGCAGGAGTGCATAGTTGGTCACGGTTGCGCTGGTGGCCTGGTATCAAACACCGTTTTTGGGATTTGTCTTTTCAAGTGCTACTATTCCCCCTATCGAACTGGCGCAACTGTGTCCAACTGGGGGTGGGATGGGGTGGGGTGCGGGGGAGGGGATGATTACGTTCGTCCCTGCAGTTCTTTTCACGGCTCGGAAGATGTACAAACCAGTAGCTTGTTGAATTGTGAGAAGCAAACGTGGTGTTCCTGGCATACTTTCTGATGGTGTGTTGGCCAAAGGCCCGAAAGTGAAGAACTTTCATCTGGTGAGCCGACGAAAATAATTCCGTAGACATGTAGGTTCATGAAACTCGATTGATCGTGAATGGCAGTCATTGAAAGCGTTATTGCCTCCGCAGCTCCACCGCAAATGCTGGTGTGACAATAATTCGGACGTTAATGTGCATTTGAACCAAATAACTTACCAATTCGTGTGGAGACAAAGTTTGGGAACTGCTTCGCCTAAATGCTTTGTTGGGGGCATTGGTCAAATTGTTGCGAACTTATTAGCTGAACAAAGTAGCTTTGCATGTTGATACCTGCCACGTTGCGAGCAAAAAAAACAAACTTTTTTGACAGTGGCTCCGAAAACACCAGGCGACTAGCGCAACCATGACCGCATAATTAGTTTCCCCACGGTGCAAAGCTCCAAGTGCACTAGTAGGTCTTACCTCAAACCACAGGAGAAGAAACCATCTCTCCATGTCGACCAAATTTGTTCAGAGGTGTTGCTCTAGCATTCTCTACAAGCCTCATTCGAGTCATAGTCAAAACCCAGTAGTAAAATGGTCTACCCAGGGCGGCCGCAGCTATTTACGGTTGGAATTGTCACTTACTAACCTTCATCTACCTGGGCTTTGAGCCAGTGGCTCATTTCCCTCTTCCATTTCGACCATTTTTTGTTCAGAAGTTTTGCCCCAGCCTTCTCTACAAGCCCCACTTGGAAGTCGGCCCCAAACTTCTTCAGAAATCTGAGGCCGGAGGCTTCTTGCTGGCGCGCGTGGTGGGCCATGACCTGGCCAAGGCTTCCAGCGAAGCGCCGCTTCTGGAAATTAAATTCTACCCAACTTACCCTCGAGAGCCAGGGGACCGGTTCAAACCCAAAGCAATCCAAACCTCTTTCCTTTTCCATTCTTTCCAAGCGTTCTTAAAAAAAAGAACAGTTTATTGTTCAGGGTGTTGGGGAAAGAAGGACCTGCAAAACCACCAACCTGACGGGTTGCCTGGAATCAGTTGCAAAGTCCTGGTGAATGTGCGAATCTCGCCTGTCCACGTTACAGGGGCAAGCTCGAAGGGCCAAAGGCCTGCTAGCAGCTTAAAACGGACATGCTTCAAGATTTCGAGCAACGTCTGGCGCCTGGCGAAATCCTGTTTGCAGAAGCTCCCCATGTGCAAATGGGTGTGTCTTTTTTTCGGGGAGCCCCAAATCCTGAGTCTCCAAGTCCATTGGTGTGGAAAAGATGTGCCCCCCCTTTCCTTGATACAAGGGGGAAGACAAACCCATCAGATGAGCCGTGGCCATAGTTTTCAGGGGATTGATTCATGTGGATCGAAGTGGATCGAACGGAGTTGTCCAAGACACATGTTCCAAAACGGCAACTTTGGTTCACTCAAGTCCCCCAAAAGAAGTTCAACTGAATGTCCGCAAGCGTTGACGCTGGCCAATTCCATCTGCCTTTTCTTGCAGGTGCCGCCAAAGATTCGGCATGAGCAACCTACAAAAAGCGAACCATTGGGTCAAACAATCAATACCTGGGACCTGACCGCTGTCCATTTCCAGCTTGCATTGGGAGGATGGCAATGGTTGGAATCCCAGCATGTGTCTTTAGCACGTGGCTGGGTGAATGGCTGAGAATTGTTTGCATGCCAAGCTGGCCAGGAGTCGAGCTCATTGGTGATGCCTGCCGTGTAGATGTTAGACATTGATAGCCAATGGGTCAATGGATGTGAGAGTCCCGATGCGCTCGTTGCTCACCTTCCCTGACCATCACAGCCAGTCCCCCTCGCATAGAAGAGTGCATAGGGGAGCAACATGGGCACCTGTCCTTGATCCCCTTCTTGGGTGTTCAGCCAAGTTTCTAAGTGATGGGTCACCCACAAAAAGCCCCTGAGCGGGGAGCTATAAGTCAGAAACCAAGTCGCTAGCCACTTGCTAACTTGGCAACAAACATCCAAGTAAGTCACAATCAGAACTAACCCGGTATTAAAATGGTCGACCCAGATCCATGTGCAGAATTAGGAAGGCGGCCGCAGCTATTTATGGTTGGGATTGTCCCTCACTAACCGTCATCCACCCGGGCTTTGATTGTGTCTCAATGATTGCTCTTAAGCCCCCTGGAAAAAAGAAAAAAACTCCAGTAGTCATAGCTTCCCTTTAAAACCAACAGGGAAAGTAAAACATATTCTACATGAAAGTAGGTCCACAACCCGCGAAGAAAGCTTCGACCGCCTCCCAGGCATCGCTCCGCCTCTGCATGGGTGGCGTGCCTCTCCGCCAGCACCCTCGCCTCCGGGCCGCTGAGGCCCGTAGAGACCCAAGCCCAAAGAGCCCCCATTCTAAGGGAAGTACATTCCCCTGGTTCATTCTGGCTTCCCTGGTTTACCCACTCTTTTTTTTGGTATATGCACCCCTTTTGACAAGAGGGGTATGAACATCAGCAGGCCTGGTTCATTTGTCCAGGGCGTAGAAGGGGTATCCTGGACCCATGCGCCTTTCCTGGCTGTGGGAGCCCTATACGAGTCTGCCTGGTTAGAATGGCCGATCTCTGAGCGATTTCTGGTTCGCCCCTTTTCTTTAGTCTTTGCGCTACCGCAATTTCAAATTCAATGAACCAACATCAGCAAATCACATCTACCGCGCCCACAAATGGACGCTTGAAAGGCATAGGCACCTAGGCCAAAATATCGTCTCAAGGAAGTCTTACAATCCATCCAACCACCACCCACCAAGATTCACGCACCATTCGCTAAGTGAGGGCGAGTGAGCTCATTTCACCTCCGAATCGGCCAGCGCGTCATATTTGGACTAGATCCGTCTCCCCCCCACCAATTCTGGTGAAAACCAATGAAACCACAAAATCAAACAACGCCCATCGGCGCCATGTGGATGGTCGGAGCCGGCGGCGACGGGGGCCTCCGCCTCTTGGGCGATGGCGCGCAGGGACTGTGCCGCCTCCGCGGCGGCCTGCTCCACGCGCCGCCACTCCTCCCCTCAGGCGTGGGACACGTCCGGGGAGGGGGAGGTGGGGGGGGATGTGGGGGGGACGTGGGGGTGGATGGGGTGTCTCGGAGGTGAGGGTGGGGTCTGAAACCTGTTAAGGAATCCAAACAAGTCGGGTAGGGCGGGGGGGTTAAGCCATTGTCATGTTGGCCTTAGGGTTCGCCGGTCACAATTACTACGAATTTCACTACGGAATACCGTAGGTTACCTTTGAATGGCCAGAAAGTCTAAACTTGCTACTTACCACTCAACTAGTCCTCCAGTTTAAAATCCAGGATCATTCCAAAGCTTGTCCCAACCCCTACCAAACCGCACATTCTCAAACCTGGACAAAGATGTAAAGGGACATGACGATCCGACTTATGGCGCTGCCGGCTAGCTGGCTTCACTGCATCAAACGGCATCAATCAGTGGCCAAATCTTCAACCTGAGATTCGGCACAAACAGCACAAGCGATGCGAAGCACCGCCTATCGCTATGGTCTTCGCCCAATTTTCAACAACGAAAAATCATGAAGGCCGCCTTTGCCAATGGTGGAAGGTAATAGGTATGTGTACACTGTATTATCTTGGTTGCTGTTGACCCCTCTGCGAAAAGTTGAACTTGTTGGGAGTCCAATTCGAAAACCCAAAGATCCAACGCAATATCCATAAAGGTGTGGGTAAATACAGAGGTATATATATATATAGTGAATCTTGTCTCAGCCTTGCCAGATTCCTTTGGATCCCCACCATAAAAAGCTCCAACGTTCAAGCTGTGAAATTCCCTACAAACCTCCCCCTGGCCGGCTGAAACTGAGAAAAAAAAACATGGCGGGCGGCCTGCGCTCGGCTTCACCTGCGAAGCCCAAGATGAGTATGGGTGGCTCGTACGGTATTTTTTTTTTCCGGCGGCTTTAAAGGGGAACCAATTGCAAACCCACCTTTTTTGGGAGGTCCCCGACAAAAACGAGAGAGCCATGTAGCGGTCACTGGGCACGCGATCGCTTTGGCGCACACTGTGCTTGAGAAGTCTTCCGAGGGAATCATCGTGCCTATCCGCAACATGCCCCTCCATGCGTGCACAGGGCTGTCCAACATGCGGAGTGGGCGATTTGATCAAATTCCAAGGCGCCGCTGAAAAATACAGACTTTGCAAAGCGAAGGGGCTAAGTGGGCGAAAGAATCGAATCTGACCCGCGATGCAGCCGGCAGCCGTTGAGCTTTGCTGTTCTGCAAGTGACAGGGGAACATCTGGCTGCGGATGGGAACAAGGGCTTGCTCACGCCCCTTGTCAGGGCTCCGTCAAAAGCCAAAAAACATTGCAACATTGGGAAAAGCTAAAGGTCAAAAGGTCGATTCGCCCAACAGGCCAGCCCTTGGGCTGTCGTGACGCTCGAGCAAGCAACGGGCCGCCTCAGCGTCGCCTGGCGCGATCTGCTCGCCCAGTCCGTTCGCTCAGAGAGAGAGAGAGAGAGAGAGAGAGAGAGAGAAAGAGAAAGAGAAAGAGAAAGAGAAAGAGAAAGAGAAAGAGAAAGAGAAAGAGAAAGAGAAAGAGAATAAAGAAAACGAGCGGGAGAGGCGGCCACTCCTTTGTGGATCTCCAAAAGTTGTTGGAACCCACCAGTTAACATGTGCAAACATGCAAATAGTTTTCGGGGGGAGCTGCCTGTGCCACTCGAGCAATCCAGCTTCGGAGGCATTGGGGGCAATTGGGTTTGTCTCCAAATGAGGGACCCCCAAATGATTGGTTTCCTTTTGTTTCCCAACAATCCTGCCATGTTCTTCATCCTCAGAGAGTTGGCGTGCCCCGAGCCACCGTCGCGCTGGCCAAGCCTTGCTTTGCCGGAGTCAGATCCATCCTGACTGAGCAATGCAAGCGTCGGCATCTTTCAAACGGCGCCAGGCAAGGGCAGCGAAGATTCCGGACAAATGATCGCCGTCCCTGCGGGGACAAAAAACTATATGGGTTGGCCCAGTTGCACCGTTCATTCAATCTGCACCTCGATGAGCCCGTGTGAAACAGAAAAAACATAGTAAAAACAACCCCACCGGGACAACCCCAAGATCTCTCCCAGGTACTTTTGCCAAACCCCTGAGGCTGGTGCCCTGCCCACTCGGGGCTGGCCGGGTTCTCTGCATCCACCTGACAGGGTTCTTGAAACAAAACGCGAGGACTGGGTCAAAGAACCTCTTGGGCTTCGCCAGATCCCAGATTTCTATGGCCAAGTCTTCCCCACACCCGGTCGACACCTTCCATCTTTGCGATTGTGGCAATCGAAGGAATGCGACATGTTGCGTGAACGCGGACTTCATGGACTCTGCACCTTCTATTTTCCTGGCCCAGGCTTCACAAACTCTATGGGTGCTGCTTGGGACTGGCGGTTCAGGGGTGACGTGCCAGGATGATGCCAAAAAACCCACAAGCAACACCGGTACTACTTGTCTCCAAAGAAATGGATCACGGTGTGGGTACGGTCATGGCTCCATGGCAAAATAGAGTACCCTGCTGTGTGCCGCGCATGGGCAGTTGCAACTCAAAGGAGCTTAAGGCTAATAATGACTTCATATTCATCAACCCCAGTTTACTAATAGGGGGGTGTTCCCCTCCAAAAGTGATTATGGGGCCAACATTAGATCTCCAACAATCCCTACAGCCTCAAACAAATGCCACCGAGTCGGCCAAAACAATCATGCCTGAGGCTTTCTGGATGGCACAGCTCAAAAAAGCCAAGACTCAATTCCCCACTGGCCAGATTCCCTCGAATTCCATCATTCCCGGAATCCCGTGTAACCATCCCTTGTGTCTGTCACAAAGGAGGCAAATCAGGCAATCCCCGGAATCCCCCCTAACCATCCCTGGTGTCACAAAGGCCCGAAATTCCGCGGACCGCGTCTAACCATCCCTGGTGTCACAAAGGCCGGAAATGAGGGAATCCCCGCAATCCCCACCATCCTTTATGTCAAAAAGGCCTCCGGAATCCCCGTCCAACCACCCCCCCTCCCCCCTCCCCGAGGTCCCAAAGTTCGCCACTGACCAAGGCCGCTTCACTGGCCCGATGTCAGTCCTGAGGCTCAGGCCTTCGGCTCGACCTCAGATCACCCGACGCCCTCTCCGCGGAAAAGTCTCATCAAAACCCCTCAACAGAGCCCTACGTTCCTTTCTGCTGAAACCCCTTATGCCACGAAAAATATCGAGAAAAAAAAATCCGACTGGTTTCCTCCGGCTCCTGTTCTTTTTATTTTCTTTCTTTCTTGTTTTTTTTTTTTTGGGGGGGGGGGCGGTCAAGTCGACTCAAATGCGTGGAAACAAAATTGCTGCAGCCGATGAGGCACCAAACCTGCTACAAATACATCAGCTTCAGCAACAGCACGAGTGCGCCGAAACAACGCCACACAAAATCATAATCAAACAAATTGATCGTTGGCCGTGGGCAAAACAACACAAGAATACGATTGGCAGAACGCAGTTGCAGTGCTGGCAACACTCTACAAACCAAAGGGCGGACTTCACAAATTAGCAACAATTCGCTACAGGTTGTACCCGCTAGGCTCGTGGTGCGGCTACGGTCGTCTTCATGGCGCTTCGCAGGCAATGTTTAGCTTTACAATATGGGGGGGGGGGGCTGCAAAAGCACAGGGCCGAAGTGAAGCCAAAGGAATTTGAGGAATTCCGCGGCAGGTGGCGCGGAAACAAGAGTCAGCTGGTCCGAGATCGGACTGAAAACCTGTTGCGTACGATTGCTTGACGGACTTCAGTTGTGTGTTGAGGGGCCGCTTGCTAAGAAATGTCCAGCAATGTCAAACCATGTCAAGCCATGCCACTTGACACAAAACTCCACTTTAGCTCTTTGACCCCATCCCAACCTCCGTCACCGTGGGCCTCTCGTCCAGCCTGTCCGGCCCCGCAAAAACAATCACGACTTCCCCAACCGCGGCTTGGAAAACAGAGACATGTGTGGCTGCAGCCCCGCGTCTGTCTCCAGACCTCCCCTTGCTTAAACGATGCCACTAGAGAGAGCCCCTGTTGGGCTTCCGCAAAGGTGCTGGCCAGCCCACGTCGCAGAGTTTGATCGTTTGATGCGGGTTCCGGAGAGCTCGGAAGTTACGTTCTTTTGCACGCCAGGATCGGATTTGACGCAAATTTTGAATGTCCCGTTCATCTTTGCTCGAGACGGACAGATGTCCAAGGAATGTCCGAGTTGCGTGAAATACCAATGTGTAATCCAACATGGAATGGTGAGTCCTGCAAGGTCTGGGTGCCCCACTAGCCAAGGCTTGCAAACATGGCTAGCGCGGGGGTTCCATGGGCGCAAAGCACATGGTTGGCCTTTCTGTTTTGGGAACCTCGTGAGGGGAAATGACCAAAAGTCAAGGGATTTAGAGGCGATCGAACCGGAACATTTCCAGTGCCACATCTGATTCCCGCCTGACAGGATGGCCTGGCCGGTTGATTCCGCATGACGGCCGTTGTCCACACTTCCCCATCGCAACCAGTGGCTGTTGGCTTTCCGGTCGGCTTCTCAGACCACCGGAAAGCTTGGGCTGTGATGTGACCAAATGATTCCTGTCCAGCCTACAGACTGCAACGCTGCTTGCATGGTGCCATCTTTAGATCTTCCCTGCGCTCTCATCCCTCCAACGGCAATCCAAGATTCATGGCAAATCGCTTCCGCTTCTCTCAACGCCTGGTGGCACCATGGACAGATTCGGAGAACTCAGCATGCCTCAGGCGGACCAAAGGCGCGCGACCAAACAAAGCCTTGGCCATTGGCATTGAAATATTTCCGACGCGGGGCCCACATGGCACATGGATGCGCTTCAAGCACGTGCGCTACCTGCCCACCGCAAATGGCACCCATAAGGAATTGCACTACTTGCCTGGTGCTAAGGGATGGCTTTTTGGGGTCATTCCATTTCTCATTCCCAAAAGACTAAGCCGCACGCTTCCTGGAATGCTGGCTGAATGCTGCATATCTGGGCGGCAGCCTGCGCAGAGCTGCACAAGAACAAGCACTTGATTAAAAAAAACACAACCCATGAACACTCACATAACGCACAGCTCTGGGAAAGAAACTGTATGGACCTCACGGACAAAAGGTGTTGGCCTTGTTTTGGGATGCATCAGTCCTATAGCTGGACGGCCTTTAGACAGTCACAGCTGAAACTTGGCTCGAAATGCTAAACCTTTGGCCGTCCTGGAGGTTCCTGCGCGGTGTGTGCAATCTACGCGTGCAGGGAGTCACACCAAAACCGCATCCCGCCGAAATCATGAAGCAAACTGAACTGTGCTTGGCAGCGTAAAAGTTTGGCCCAAAGTTCTCTCTTGGGCCACATGCAGGTCGCGGGCGCAAGGACGCCCCCCCTTCCTTGGCCCAAAGCAAAACGTGCCTGCCACGCATGAGCTTGGGCATGGCGCTCCTGCAAAATGTGGGCATTCCGCCGGCTTGCAGTGCTTCCCAAGTGTGATTCCCCAGCCTTGACTCTTTCGTCCCTTATTTCGGGCCCATGCCCTTTCATCCTTTTTCATCTTGACACCCTTGTGCCCACTTTCTTGCATGCCCTTATGACACTTCTGGTCTTCCCAACCCTTCGAAATCCTTGTAATCTATCTGCTCCGCTCCACTGGCCGGGCATGGAAAGTCCGAACGCTTCTCTCAACGGTCTCCTGGTGGCAGCGCCATGGACATGTTTGGCGAACTGAACATGCCTCGGTCCGGTGCGTCTTGCTCACGATGCATCACCCTAGCCTGAGACCCGCTTTTCCAAATGATGCGAGGACATGGGTTTGCCGACGACGTCCCGATGATTTAAGGCCAAGTTGAAGTGTCTTGAATGCAAATCCCCGCGACACAGCGCACAGTGCAGGCGCTTGCACGTGTTCTACCTGTCTACGAGGCACATGGCACGCAGTAAGAATGGGAATCCATCAACCTCAGCAGCGTCGCGCTTCACACGCCCCGGCACACCTTTTGGGTTGAAATGGGGTTGGTCTAATGTGGGCGTAGGGCAGGGTTTAGGGGTGTATTGCGGGGTGTATGGGGTTTGTTTTAGAGTTTGGCCTTGCTTTAGTTCAGGGTGGGTTCAGGGTGGGTTTGCGGTGGGATTGGGCTTGGTTTAGATTGCTTCAGGCTTCTTCGGGGGTTGGTTTAGCGTCTGGTTTGGGCTTCGGACTAAGCTGCAGGCTACGGGCGCACAAAGCCGCAAGGACACGCAGAAATCGGCCACTGAAACACCACGCAGCTGAAAAGAAAAAAGCGCATGGACCTCACGGACAACAGGCGCGGGCCTGTCTTTGCCGGACAGCCATAGGTGTCCTTTTAGGGGAAATAGATGGGTTTCCCTGGTAGATGATTAAGCCACCAGGTAAACCAGTGCCATCTGTTTTTCCAGCAAAACTCGGCAAAACATCCAAAAAGGATACCTATGCGGGCAGCTTTTAGTCAAGACTGCTTGCTTGCTTCACCGACAGCTCTCCTGCCAACTGGCCCGGGAAAACGCATCAATCTATCCCGATCCCGTGTTCAATCCCCCGGCGCAGAGCGTACTAGCTCAAAGGGAAGCCCCCTTCAACAAATGGAAAAGGATGCAAATTACTGAGTGACTGGGTCACTTCTGCTTCAAGGTCTATTTGACTCATCAGGGGTTCATCCATATTCCCATCGGCCCCCAATTTCAAAGGCTATCTTCCCATTTCGTGGAAAATATAAATCATATGTGCGTGATTTCCCCCCATGGTCATCCCATCGGACCTTTCGACCCCCATGCTACTTCTCCTCGCTCGGTGCCCTCCGCAGGCCCGCACCTGCCACACATCTCGAGCTCGAGCACGGCGATTGCGATCCTTCGGAGAGCAAAACCGTCGCCGATGTCCGGGCGGAAGTTCCCGCAACTTGCGTGGCCCAGCTCATTCGGTATGATCGCTTTTTAATATCTATAGATACCTCTGGCTTGCAAAAAAAATGGCATGGCCTTTTTGAATGGCAAATCAAGAAAGCCTCTCTGAACGCCCTCCTGCCGGCGGCAGCATCAAGGACATTTTCGGCGAACTCGACATGCCTCTGCTGGCGGACCCTTCGAGTGTTTCATCACCCCGCTGCCCTTTACATGTTCACCCTAGCCTGAGACCAAGTGGACAGGGCGCTCTTGAGATGGAGGTGGTCTTGCACACCCTCTCATCCTCCCGTGCGCTCGCATGACAAACTGGCTTGTTGCATCATTCCCGAGTCCCAGCCCAGCATGCAGCACACGCGATAGCCTACCATACGTCTCAAGTTTCCATGCGAGAAGAATTGAAGCCACTGTAGGACTAGGCTTCGCACCGGGAATGCCAGCCGAATGCTGCATATCTGGGCCTGGACAAAGCTCAAGCAAAACCTCACCACCTGGACGCTCAAGCAAAACCTCAAAACCTGGACACCCCATCCCAACAGCCATCAAGTGCCTGGAGCTCTGCTTTCGTGTTTCATCCTCTGGCGGATCCAAATCTGCGATTTGGCCTTCCAGTGGCTTCAACCTTTTCAGCCCATGAGCCTAGAAAAAAAACTCAAGCGCCAAAACGGGCAGTCCGTGAAACTCAGAAAGCCACTGGGCCTGTCTGTTGAGGGTAGCTTCTTTGTGTCAGGCTTCAAGGGAAGAAGCGAAAAGCGAGCAAACACTACCCGGAACTTCTTCGGGGGTCCTATCTGAAAAGAAACGCAAATAGGCGTTCGTGCCTTTTGTGCCTATTGGTTGTGACCATGTTCTGCCGGCTTGGTGTGAAGCTGTGTTGCAAATTCAGAAACCGCGCAACCGGCCCAGCTTGGGAGCGTGCCAGGGCCCATATGAGGATGGCCTGCAGGGAACGGCGCACGGCCACAATTGTCCGCTTGGTTGTCCTTCAAAGCCCCGCAAAAAGGCTACCCACAAAAAAAAACTCACGCAATGCACTGACATCTGTGAGCCGGCCGTCTGCAACCCTCCTGTCCGTTTCTGCCCAACTCCCTTGCATCACTTCCCCATGTACACTTTTCCGTTGCTCACCTGGTCGGACTATGGGCAGTTGTGGACCCATGCCTCAGGAAGCGGGAGGTGCTCCCTGCAAAAGGTCACCACCCCCCCCCCAGTTGGTCTTGGTTCTTCAGAAAATTTGATGCCCATTATCTTTCACCCATGTCAGCCAGGAGAAATGTTTGCTTGAAACCACCCGCGGCCCCCTCACGGAACCCAAGCCCGATTGGACACCTGAGGTGCGCACATCCCGGGTGAAAGTCTGGACGACCTGCGTTCGTGCAGAACCAACTAGCCCCCCCCATACCGGCAAGAGCAACACAGGAATGCCTAAACTCCCCTGGCCAAATGAACATGAAGACGGACTACCAAAAAGCTTAGCCTGTACATGGGCATCTAGGCTCTGGGGTACCCTTGCTATTAATCGAGAATCATAAGCCATGCAATTCATCGTGCGCGGGTGGGCTCGCATAAGGGGCACGGAGTGCTGCAGCTCCAAAGCCTGCAATGTGTCCTGTTTTGGTATGGGGTAGGCTTGCCAATCCTCGCTTCTGATTGAACATCCAAACCTGAAGCGGGTTTCAAGCAAGGAAGAACTCCTACACGCCCGCACTGTCGTCCCTGTGCTTAACATATGCCACGCATGCAGGCACTGCTGTTCAACATGTGCCAAGCATGCACGCACAGTTGTCCGTGCGCTTAGCATCTGCCGTCGTGCAAGAAAAAACACGTGTTATGCATGATTTAGGCAAACATCCTTCAAGCGCTCCACGGTTTCAACGCCGTCCCAGCCTGGCGGGATCATGGAGGGCGGTCCATGTGGCATGCCTGCGCGTTGCGTGCCCTTTCTAACATCACTGTCGTCAACTCCAAAAACTCAAAGATTCACCTCCTCACGCAACAGTGGGCAAAATAGAAGGTCCATTATGCTGACCCACAATTCCTTCAAACTCATAACCACTGTCACCCAAAGCGCGTAATGCGCCATTGCTCTCGTCAGCCATTTCCATAAGGGGCAACCACACATCGAACTCCAACAAACAAAAAATGGAAAAGCTAAGGCGCAACTCCAAGGCCCTAACCGAGCGAACTAAACTCGAGGCGCACCGGGCATCCCATGCATCTCTGGGCGGCAACCTGCAATCCACATGTGCAGTCCCGGCTCGCTTTGTGGGAATTTGTATGGTTGCCAAATCCCAAGTGCAAGATCGTTCCTAGCAATGAACGCCTGGGCTTGAAAAGAACAATTGTTAGACACAATGGGGGCTTGAAAAGAACAAATGTTAGACACAATGGGGGATCAGCAAACCATACCAATTGGGACCAGGCAACAACGATTGGAGAACCAGCCATGTCTTCATGTGTTCTTGAGCCTCTTTGCCAACTGCTTGGTGGGAATTATAAGCTCGAACCCGGACCTTACGCATCTTTTTCTAGCCGATTTGTGTCCACCAACCATTTTGGAAAATGATCCACCAAGAAAATGCATAGCATTGGAAATCATTGGAGGCATCACCCGCCGTTCCGTGCCACACAAGGCACAGAAAGCCCTTCCAAAGTTGGAGACGTACAGTGGATGGACAAAATCCAGGCACCAGCGTTCAGAAACCCTGGTTACTGATGATTCCAAAACGTTTATAATCACGGCTTCATTTCGTGGTGCCAAGCAGATTTCGCCCATCCACAGTGCCAAAAGGCTCGAGATGGCCGCTCTTGCCTCAAGGCTGAGCTTCCTAGTTGGTGTGGATAGATAGTTTGGGGGTAGGCATGGCTTAGAAACAGGGGTTCACACCTTGGCTGACGTTGGAAGGGCAACAACAAATTATTTTTTAGCAGTTCAGTGGTTGGATTTCAACCACTAAACTACAATAATCAAAATGTTTCCAATGTTTCCCAACAACAACCATGATACCCCGAAGCCACCAATCCAAACCACCAATTCCGCAATTGGGGGTCACTCGATCCCTGCCTGCCGGCGGCCCCATGGACCTACCTAGCTTGCGATTTTGACTGGCATGCTGCCGCTCGGCCCTAACAACTCCGACTCAGATTTTGAAGCCGCAATACGCAACCCAGCAAGTGTGACAATTGGAATCGGATGGGCGTGCGACCCAACAACTCTCACTGACATTTGTGGGGCGTCACTGAGACCACAGCAACAGCCCAGGTTCCCAGCAAGGCATCCAGCTGGGGAGCGCACCGTACATGCCAGGGCCATACATATCCGGATGGCAACCTGGCAAGCGAAGGCTCGAATGCACAACCCAGTCTTAGGTACCGAAGTAGCCAGGGACGTTTGCGCAAGGGATGCCACGCAAGACAGGACAATTTCCTGGGCGCCTAACTCTTGTCCACTAAAAAATGGGAACAATAGCGAAAGCCCTTTCAAAGGCAATTCTGTGAGGAAAACCACAATCAGAGAAACGACCCAAGGCACGGGTAGCGCCGAAAAAACACCGCATACCGCATGCAAACAAGCTGGAGACCCTTCTGAACAACTTGGTGCCCGGCGGACCTGGCTGGGTAACATTACTCACTTCCGATGGGGATTGGCCAAAACTCCTCAGGTGGTCTATGGCCATGGCTCCCTTAAAAGGGGATCACGTCCTCACTGGATTGGCCAAAAAAAAATCGTCTAAACTCTTCGTTGCGGTACTAGAATGGTCAAACCCCTAAAAGATTAGAGTCCAGGAGCTCAGGAGCATGGGTTGCCTAAGGTCCCCCTAGGTTCAACATCATCCCTGACCCAGTGAGCAGGTCAAAAGCGACCATGGCACACAAGGGGGGCGGTCAAAGAAACCGGCTTGTGCGTCCGGTAGGTCGTGCACGTGTAAAGGCCAGCAGTTCACCAGGCTTGCGCAAAGCAGCGAGCAAATGCGACGTGCACAGGTACAAGCGCCAGACTAGCGCGTAAGGCCTCTGCCAACCCAAGCATCGCAAACGCGGGCAATAGCAACACTCAGCAGAAGCTCTCGTCCAACAGCCCATTCAGCGTGCCGTTGCAGTTTGTGACATGTGTTTTGGAGCCTGAAGGCAAGGCCGACTCTTGCTTGCAAATATGGGTCTGTCTCAACATAGGGGAGCCCCCTAAGTCGGCTTCCTTCTATTTCCCTTTAAACCAACCCCACCTTTGGAACACAAACACACATACATCTAAGGTGTGATTCCCCATTCTTTTCAACCACTGTTCTTTTCGCAAACCGGCCGTTTTCCCTGCGTTTACTTGGGATTTTTGGAAAGAAGGATCCCTGGAAAAGCATGGGACAGGTACCCCTAGGACAAACACCCAGATGCCCAAAAAAAGAAAGGTTCTTTCAGCACCCGGCGCCCGGCCTGGAAGCTCCTGCCCGTCTGGGCCAAAACGCCCGGTCCCGGGCCCGGGTCCCTGGCCGGTCCAGAAACTTACAGATTTGCCCACCAAAGATATGAACCAACACAAGTGCCTACTCTGACTCTCTACCTACCTCTCTCTCTTCGTCTCTTTCTCTCCCTCTCTCTCTCTGCCTACCTCTCTCTCTCTCAATTTGTACGTCTTGTGTATATAGATACATATAGAGATGCGTATGTTCAATTTGTGGCCCCATGCTGTTGCCTGGAGTATCTGGGTGCTTTGGTGTCGAAGAACCTCCGCATCGGTCTTTGACCAGCGGCCGGTGAATTCTGTCGGCCCGTTGGCTTCAGAGCGATTCTCCTTGCCCACTCGCCGGAAGGCCCCAACGGAAGCCATCGGGATTCGAAGCTTCGGCAGCCCTTGAACGCGAAGCAAGGGACATGGCCACGTGCATCGCCTCTTGTCGCGCCCACGGCCATTGCACCTATGCCTTGACATGTTCCAACACCTTGGCAGATGCAGATGCTCAAGTGATCAAGATTCTATGGTTGTGAAGGGCCCCAACTTTGGACCCTCGACGACTCGACCTACCAACCCCCCAAAAAGACCCCAGCCCCAACAAGACCAGCGATTGGGACCTCCGACCTCCCCCCCTCCCCTGGAGAAAAAAAAGCCAGTCCCAACGGCGCCTCCCATGGCGCGTCCCAGGGCTCACCTCGGCTAACGAACTTGTGGTGCTATGGCTTTCCCTTTGCCGCACTGACATAGCCGGTGGGCCATAGGAAAACACGCGCCAATGAAACTACCAATATGAAGTAAAATATTGGCTGGTTGGCGGGCATCAGCATGCCTCTGCGCAGCATATGTCGCATTCGCAGCTGACTTGTTTGAGAGCTACCGCCAGCCACCAAACGAGCTCATGTACAGCTAGGCGTGTCTCTCTTGAGAATCAACGCAACTGGTCTCTAACCTCTCGAGCACACGCAGCTGAAACAAACGGGCTAACAACAACATTGTCCCAACATGCACGATGCACAAAGTTGGGAGCACCATGTGAGAAAGGCAAGGTTCAACCACAATTCGCATACGCAAGCATACAAGTACACGCGCCTGTTTTTCTATTATAAGTATCCGTTACAATGTTCAAAGCGGGTACAAAGGTTTGACTTCTGAAAGCAGTTGAGGCGACATATGCACCGTTCAAAGTGTCAAGAGCGGCTTTCAAGGACTTCAACTGCCAACCCACCAATTCCGTGCCCCAGCCAACGCAAACTGAGCTGACAGAGCAGTCAACTGGCTCAGTAGTTCGATTGGCGTGTTGGCCCTTGGTGATGCAAGGTGCAAGTGCGGCCAGCCACCCCAACAACTTAATGTTGACCCAGGACTAATAAACCTGTCCCATTTTTAGGGGGGTGGTCCCTCCAAAAGTGGTGTGAATCCCCACTCACAGGGGACCCCCCCAATCAAAATCAACCAGAGGTTCTGCTTAATCCGGGGTTCACTACTTAACTTGTCCAATCAAATCCAGGTCAGCCTACGAAAGCTTGGCAATCGCTACCCCCACGGCCCCGCCTTGCCAAGGACGCCCCTTCCCCTTCCAGCCGCCTGTGGAGAGAACTGGCTGCCCCCAAATGCACGAAACGATCGGGTCTCGCCGTTTTTGGAGTTGCTTTTGGGCACTTAAAACCAACAACACAAAAGGAATACCGGAAATCACAATTGTTTGGGGGGAGTCCGGGACCCCTAAAAAAGACACACCTACTGGTGCAGCCTGTTTGGATCAAAACAAGGGAAACAAGTTCACGGCCGCGATGTCTGAACTCTTTTCGGGCCATGGTGGCGTCTTGCTTGGGAAACTGTAGCTTCACCTCACTCCCTGGGTCTATTGGCCAGAAAAGTCTATTCTTGTTGCTTCTCACTAAATGGTCCAAGTCCAAAAAGTTAAAAGGCCCCAAACTCAGGGTGTAGCTTCGCAATGCTCAGACTTTATGGCCCAGTGACCGAACCCCCTCAAACAATCCCTGGGCGTGCCAACCCATTGGTGCCAAGCTTCCTCATTGAAAAAAGACAACGGAACAACTCGTAGCCGCATGGCGTCCAAAACGGGGAGCCGCAAAATGATTAGTTGCCTTTTCGGTTTCCCCTTCAGTCTTGACCAGGTCCCCTCATTGAGGAAATGTGTGGTAGTACAATACTTTATACCCCTTGGCATGGTAGCGAACAGCTTGTGTTTTGCAGCCCACCAAAAATGGACAGAACCAAAGATGAAATCTCTACCAAGTGGCGCCAATTTGGGGTTGATTGAGCAAAGTTCGAGGACCAGGTTTACTGTACTCATGCAGTTTACTGTCTTCCTCTTTCCCTAAAATAGGGGACTGAAGCTGGCTGTGCTTTGGACTGTCAACTAGGTCCTCCAGTAGAGAGGTTAGAAATAAGGGTACCCACTTTTTCTCTGTACTCTACTTTAGTCGGGGAAGCCTCCCCAGAAAAAAAAAAAGAAGAAGTTATTCTAGTAGCGAGCCCTCCCCAGAAAAATAACAAAAAGTTGGTAAGAGTTGGCTCCTAGCTGGGAGACCTCGACAACATGTTGGCTCGAACCGCTCGTGGCACCGGAGGACTCGATCCACCCGCCGATCCATCCGATCGCCTCGAGGACCCATCATCCTGGGCGCGCGGCGGTTTCGAAGCGACGAAGTGACGGCCGGCGGCCGCTTTTGGTGAGCCCAAGAGTCTAGGGGTTGAGTCCCTTACCCCTTAAAACTCCCTGCGCCCTGGGGAAGTTCTCATCTTTTACAGACATATAGCCCATGTTACCCGAAAAGTTGGAAAGTTGTGTTTTTTAAGAGGCAAGTTCCTTTCAGCCATTCCTTTTCAACCCTCGTTCTTTTAAAAAAACCGATGGCTGTTTCTCCTGAAATTCTGATAGTTTTGTTGTTTCTCGGAAAGAAGGATCCCTGGAAAGAATGGGGGAAGTGTCCCCTAGAAACATGCAAAAAGGGACAAGGGTGCCACGACAACACCTTGCTTTGATACATGAGCTGCTGGGTGGTTTTGCTGTCTGCGCCCTTTGCTTGCCCGCCACGTGCGGCAAAACAACAGGCAGTCCGGCACTTGTGGAGTGATTGGGCAGTTGACAGGTTGCCCCTTTCCGAGCCGAAATATCCTAGTGCTCTTTGCCGGTAATGCAGGGTTCCTGTTGCGCCACTTACACATTACAAACAAGAAGCTATTTTGCTGCTGGCCCAAAAGGTTATATTCACGAAAACCGCACAACAATGTGAAAACTCTTGCGTAATTCTTGGAGCCAGGGATGTTGTAGCTACAGCATTTCAGGTGGCAGCTCCAACTGAATTAGTCTGATTGAAAAAGTGAAAAAGAGATCCAGCAGTGGTAGATTCCGTTCAAGACCAACCGGGGAAAATACACAATATTTTCAAGCAAAGCCTACACACTGGGATGGCGCACCCAAATAAAAGCAGTCCACATTTGGAGAAGTGACTCTCCATTGGCCGGAGGAGGTCTAAACTGTTGCTTTATCAAGACATTTGTCAGAAAGGACAAAGTTCAAGGGAGTGAGGCATTGAATACCTTGGTGCTCAGCAGGGAATGAGGGTTTGACCTCTACAAACATGTTTTGCAATTTTTCCTGCAAGGGAATCTCCAGGTTCATTCCCAACACCCTGGGCCATTCCCCGAGCACCAACAAGATATTTCCGCAGCCTGGTTTCAGCCCGCCCAATTCTTCATGGCCGGTTGCCTGAGCTCCTCGCATGTCCGGCGGATAGCCTCCCAGGTTGCACGAGTTCACGACTTCGATCTGTGTGAGACGACAAACCAAAGCGCCCAAGCAAAACGTGTTCTTTTGAACCCCCTGCACCGGCACAGGCCAAGCACTCCATTCCCGCGCCCCAATCTTGCCGGCGATCGAGAAGTAGACATTTCGAAATACAAAGAACCCTCACAAAGCAAGACAACACAACAAGACTTAACCAACTAGGAAACACATATTTCGTTAACTACACAACCGGCCGTTGCTCAGTAGGGAATCACCAGGGTTTGATTCCCTTGAAGGAACCACATCAGGCATGGTTGTGGGTCTGGGAAACCACCCAGACCAAGCAACGCCACACCCCGGCCTTTCCCTCCGGAGCCAGGCCTCACGACTCAGCTGTGACCCAAAAACTACCGCAAATCTAAGCCGAAGGCCCATCGAAAGCTCCGGGAAAGTCGGGCCGTCGCATCGGCCTCGGAGGTTCTATCCGGTTTTTGGTGATTTGTTGGTTTTCTCCGAGGCTGGCACCCATCTGGACCATTCCAGCCTGAAGCCAAGGCTAAGGGCACTGGATACGCAAGCCCCAATCCCAATTGCCTGGATCCGGATGATGCATCGGCCTCAATCGGCTCTTGAAAAAGCGAAAGCTTCCATGAACTGCAGCTCTTCCCTCAGATCATTCAGGCCCCGGCCACGGGGCGTTCGGCCCAGGTGGGCCATGTGGGCCATGCCCATGTGGCCCGTGTGGCGCATGTGGGCCATGTGGGCCATGTGGGCCATGTGGGCCATGCCACTCTGGGCCATTCCACTCTGGGCCATTCAGCCCGCACCCCATATCGCCAGGCCCAAATGGCCCGCAGCCGCATGGCCCACACCCCGGGCCACACGGAGGGCCTTTGCCGCATCCTTTGCCGCAGACTTTGCCATGCGGACCTTTGCCATGTGGACCCGGGCCGTCGCACCATCCGCCTGGCGGCTGGAAAAAAAACGCGCGCCAAGGCGCCACTTCGCAACCCACCGACGCGCCTTTCGCGCCTTTGGCATCCCCGAACGGTGGCCTCAGAGCTCGAGCAGCTGTCAAGCAGCCGAACAAAGACACCCCCGTAAACTGGTTGGTTGATTCATCTGGGGTCAACATTGATCCCCTTATTAACCCCCCCCCAAAAAAATAAATAAACCCTAAAACCCAAAAACACACCCCCAAAAACCACCCCAAAACACCACCTTATGCGTAAACTGGCTGGTTGATTTGCATGGTTGGCCAACATCAGGTGGGGTGAGAGAACCCGGACTCTCCGAGGCATAGGCCATGGCCCCGGAAACCGCCTCGCGGAGCAGATGTGAGCCACAGCCCACGAGTCACTTGAGTCATAATCAAAACCACCCAAGCATGCCCTCCAAACCACTCCAGGTTCTAAAATCGGCGAACAAATCCAAACTGCCTGAGGTCACTCACAACCCAGAAATGAGCCACAATCGAAACCCGGTATTGAAATGGTCAATCCCCAGAACCATGCTTCAAGCGGATATCCGCAGCTATTCATGGCAAGGGGATTGTCCCTTGCTAACCTTCTTCTGCCCGGGTTTTGATTGTGGCTCACTTGACCCTGAGACACCCAGAAATAGGGAACCGCCTTTAGGGACCCCTTTAGGGACCCACAACTTGCCCCTAGGGTTCACCTTTTGGGGCCATGAGCCGAAGAATTGGAGAACCAAGACTGAGACAAGGCAGGACATTCGTCTTAGGACCTGCCTCCCAATTTCCTCGTTTTGTGGTGAGGGTAGGAACTACCATGCCGGTGCATTCCGCTTCCGTGCAAACCGCCGTGGAAACTCCAAGCATCGAACCGGTGCAAATATGCAGGAACCACCTTGGGCATGCTGTCAGGGTTAGAAGTAAAGATGCAAAACGGGGAAGCCGCTGAGACTCAGCGTCTTGCCAAGGCTGTCCGAATACATTTAACGTTGGTCTGCCAAGATTCAGGTGTGAAACGAATCTTTGTGAGGCCTTGTGAGCCTTTGCTACCGTGGGCCATGTCAAGGATCTTTGGCCATGGTCTCACTCCGGCGGTTCTATGCCCAAAGCAACCCCCCCACTGAGTGATGCAGCTAGCAGCAGGTAACAGCTTGAAGTCACGCAGTGACGTGCTGCAAGCTTGGCCCCTCCAGGAAACGACATCCCATAAGCCACCGGGTGACCAAACCAGGCCACCAGCACATACAAGCACCTTTCTTCGTTCGAACGAACCACCGCCCAACAGTCCTTTTGCTGGCTGGGGCAGTGGCCCATCGGGCGGTCCATCATAAGGTCCTTCAAAAGGTCCTGCACAGCCCGATCCATGCAAATAGCTGCATTTAAGCCGCCGTTTGCAAAACGCCTCTTGGAAAGGTCGGGGCATCTCTACTGGATCCCCTCCACCACTGAGCCACCCCTCCCTGTGTCTGTTGACCCTTGTAGCGAGGCCTCTCATCTCAGGACCCCATTCACCATACCTGAGCGCATGGCACGTTTTTTTGCGAAGCAAGCCGCTGGGTGAACGGCTTTACAAATGCCAGCATACCTCCTGACCGCCAACCAATAAGGATTCTGCATTTCACACTCCTATAAGGACTGAATGGAGATGCAAAACCAACAGCCTAGGTCAACTTTAAAAGTTCACCCCACACAGAACCACGAATACACAAATGGAGGATTGCTAGTGAATCTTCAACCAGGTTCAATTGATGAGCTATGCAGCAGCAGGGTACAAAGTCCACGCTGGCTATATCAGCAAAGGACTTGTCGATAGCTTCTGCTGGAATCAGGGCACGCATGGAGTCATCCTTCTTAGCTCTGACAGCAGGAAACCAGACGCACATCGGGAACACTAACAACAGAAGCAACAACCACAAGAAGCTGAAAGAACGGCAGTCAGCGGCTCTTAGGCACAGGTTGGAAAGTGACATAAAGTGTCCTGTAAATTGTTTCATGCTTGAATTTCATAACCAGGTCGTCCAGTAGAGAGGTTAGAACAAGGGCACTCTTTTTTTGTACTCTATTTTAATATGGGAACCCTCCCCCAAAAAAAGGGTCAAAGGGCACTACCGGGGGACCTAGATATGCAAAACATGGCAAACAGTGTGCTGCTCAACGCTGCTCGAACCCCAGATCACCCCAAAGGTTGCACCAAGACCTCGCAGCTGAGGCTGGAACTGCTGCGGCATGCGGCCTGAAAACAAACCCATCTTACAGCTCGCGCAGCCCGCACCGTGGAGCCCCCTGACGCTTTGTCGCCATCAACGTAGGAGCCCCGCAACCAAGCATTCACCCATTTTTGGCTCGAACTGGAAGGGAGCGAAGATAAATCAGTTCACAAAAGGCTTGCAGGGCCTGACTGGGTTTCGTTGTGCCGGCTGGTGCTTGGAAGACTTCCCGGAGTTTGCGGGCAGATCGTGCCCGCGCAAAACCGAACCATTTCCTTGGACGGCAAAAGCAAGCTTATGCGCAGGGCCCAAAAGAGGCAGCTCCAGATCCAATGTACAAGTTCACCAACTCTTTTCATCGCCTCAGGATATGCTTACCCCTTAAAACTCCAAGCCCTGGGGAAGTTAATCTTTTACAGTCATATAGCCCATGTTACCCCCAAAAAGTTGAACAGTTGTGTTTTTCAGAGGGAAGTATGAGCTGCCAGTAAGTGGTGCGGGGACTACGGTGCATTGTTGCCAGAAAGGACCCCCAAACATTCAGTAAACAAATTGGCTGCTCAATTCAGGCTGCAAAGATTCATTGTTTGAAAATGCCGCAGTTTCCAGTGGCAGACCCTGCTGCGGGTCTCCATTCCACAGCAAAGCGCGTTGTCCAGCCTGCCACGTATGTTGCTTCTTAGTGGTACCTTTCGAGGTGTGCACATCTTTGTGGAAAAAAGACAGGCGACTTCCTACAGAGTTGGGATTGATTTGTTGGCCACCCCTATAACTCAGTTGCCCAAAGGACCTGCAACTAAAAGGTTAACCTTTTGGGGGCATGACTAAATATGGACCAAAATGGGAAAACCAAAAGGTCAAAAGGTCGGCTTTGAACAACTGAGATAAACTTGGCTGGAATTAGGACCCCAGCAAAAATATATAGCGTTTTTACCTGGTTAGTGGAAAACAAAGGGGACCCCAGAAAAGCAAAAAAGCAAAGAGGGGAGCTAATTCTGGGGAGGTCAAGTATTCAAGGACACTTCAAAAGAGGCTTGAGAAGTGGAACCGCCCTACCAGGCTACGCCCCCGCATTTTGGGGTTAGAAACAACTCAGCGTAGGCCTTTTGACAGCCGGCCTTCGGCAAATCGGGTGCCCACTGGGTAGGTTCTAACTTTGTGTGCAAAGAGTGCTAGCCTCTTGCATCTCACTTCCCATTGCTGAGTGGCCTTCTTCTGTCTCGTCCAAACTTGATTGCTTGCTTCACGTCACAACGCGTTCGGCGCCTTGTCTCCAAACTCGTTGGGTGCTGACGCCGGGTTTTTCGCATGTCCAAGGCACGGGGGAGCTGAGTCTACTCTCGAGACCCCGCGCCTCGCCAGTCCTCGCCCCAGCCCCACATCCTAGGCCGCGGCGTGGGCCTGGGAAACATTTGGCCCATGGCCTTGGCTCAAGTGGGACCCAAAATGGCCCCTTGCTAGATGGAAACCAAGACCAAAACCTGCGTTAGCCGTGACCCCGGCTCTTGACAATTCTGAGCCACAGGCTTTGTCACGTGATCTTGTGTAATTTGGGTAAGTGAAGCGAACTAACTCACCATGCAAAAACACCATGGACATCGTGAAGCCGCTAGTTGCCCTAGCTACTGCTGACCGTAGCTACTGTTTCCCTGGAGAACCCTCAAAGGTTGCTCATGCAGCCTTGTAGCCTGAATCGAAAGGGGCACCCTACACAAGGGCGCCCATTTGAGCTGTTCCCGCCAACAGCGGGTGAATGTCGCTAAGTCCCCTTCTGGCCGTCCAACGCTCGGTCCAAGCACGCACGCATTCATTTAGAGATGGGATGAGCCAGCCTTTTGCAACAGCCTGGGGGTCGAAACGCTAAAAGGCATAACGTTGCCAAACAAACGTGCGAAGCAAGCGCCAATGGCAAACATGCTCAGTACAGACTGGGGGGGGGGGAAGTGGCAAAGTCCATCCAACAAGCATGGTGGACTCAAATAAATGGCAGCTCTCCAGACCCTGACGCCAACTCAATTGATAAAGTTGGGATGGCGCACTGCCCTTCGCAGTGCTGAGTTATTAGGCGAAGCGTGGCAAAGGCTGCTGGAGTCTAGCTGGTTCTAGCCAGCTACATGTATACCGTACCCAACCCCCACCCGTGAAAGCCAGACATTTGATTGGCAGTGCGAGTGAAGCTTCGAAAACGGCAGTGAAAGCGCGGGCCGAAAGGGTCAAGTCTTCGGCCATAAGCCCAGAGCGGCGCTGCCACACAGGCACTATGAGTCACATGACTTGTGGCGAAAGGGGAACTGATTCAAGAAGGCGCTGGCTGGCCATGTCATAACGCATGGAAAGCACCACAAGAAATGCACACGTTGCACGCGGCGCCCTTTATCTCGTGCTTTCTTCATTTTGGCCCAACCAGATGTACTTTGCATAGTGGCTCACTTACTATCTTACTTCTAGCCATTTTTAGGCTGCGGTGAATGTATTGCAGTCAGCTCTCCTTGCCATGTGCTGCCATGTGCTCTCAACTATCAACTCTGTGCCTGGCAAAGTCTTGACCCATTTGCGGACCCAGAGGCCTAAGTCGAAAATTGTCGCCGGCGTTTTCGCCCGATTTCTCGGCGAGTTTGAAGCCACGCGAGGAAGGCCCAGTGTGAAGCCAGCATATGAAAGCCCTCCTGGAACCGGATAAGCTCTATGTCGCTCCCAGTGCCAGTCTACAAGCTTGCTGGTTTGCCAACCATGCGGCTGTCACCATCTGCGGGCAGTTCTTCGCCCGCATTCCTTTCGGCTTAGCCGGAAGGAAATCTCAAGGCCGCATCATTGTCCTTTGACCACCTGGGTCAACTTCTCGTTCTCCTTTTTCAAGCTCCCCATCTGGTCCATCAGCTTGTCGATGGTCTCTGCCAGAGAACGGTTCTCCTCCTTCATCACACCAAGCTCTGCTTGCAATGCGTTGAGGTCAGGCTCATGCCCCTTCTCCTCAAGAGAGCCAGAACTTGACTGGTTGATTGACTGGAAAGCAAAATCAAAGTGACATCCCCTGAACATCCTCCTCTGAAAGCTAAACGCGGGGGGCATGTTTAGCACCCCTCATGTTCACTTGAAACCCGGATTGATCCCGGCATCTAGGCCTTCAGTTGGGATAAGAGTGGATTTCCTGGAGCCAAGATGAAACTCAGCCCCATCAGACACTTCAACTGGCTATGGACAAGTGAAACATAATACTTCCCAACTGTCCAACCCGGCCATTCAATGCAACCAAACGAATCCGGGGCCATCCCTATGAAAGGAACTTTGACAAGTGAAACCAGTCGAACACCAAATAGGATTCTTTTCAAAATACTGGACAACTCCAACATTGGCACCCTTTGAGATCCAAAACGGGCACCCCCGCCCCCTTGGATCAGTTTTAGCAGCAGAAAAAGCTTCCGGGTCGTGTAGGGGTGGGGGGTGGGGGGTTGGGAAGGTTCCAAGAAGTTCCGGGAGGGGGCGGGTGCTGGGTAATGTTGACCCCGAATGAAACAACCCCTCGTTAATCAATATGGGTGTGTCCTTGCTTTTACCGGGAATTCAACACTTTTTGAGGGGAACCCCCCCAGATTAGAAAAAAAACTGGGGTTGATTCATCCAGGATCAACATCAGGGTTACGGAACATTCGGGAAAGCAAGCATGGAGTGGTTGGCACCAAATCCGCGCCGGGTTTCCCGAAAGCTCCGGGGGGGTTCCGGGGCCCGAAAGCTACGAGCGGAAGGCTCCGAAGGGTTCCTCGAAGTTCCCATGGCGTTTCGGGGCCCGAAGGTTCAGAGTTCCACGGATTTTCCTTTTGACGGGACAATTTGGCAGTGGCTCAAAATTAAAGAGCTGGGGTTACGCGGGTTTTGGTCCATGTTTCCACTTACCAGGGTTCCATTTTGGTACCGGGTTTTGGAGCCATACCCATTTCTTGTCAGGCTCCACGTTCAGATTCATTGCTGACTTCCGGACGGGTTTTAGGTTTTTTCCCCGGATAGCTGCAAGCTATAGGTGTTCCAACTTCTAATGAAGACAGGAAAGTGACTTGCGAGATTGACGGGGGGGGTGCAGTTTGAGGTGCCGGTGACGGTGCGGTGCATTTTTGCAAGATTGACGGCAGGGTGCTGGTCAGGTGACTTCACAGGCGCGTTTTTGCCGATTGGCGGTAGGGTGCTACTGTTCTGGAATGCTGTTTGGGCTGCTGGCGTGCTGTGGGGGTGCTGGTAAACTTAATGGTCCAACCCCCCAAAAAGTGACCATTTGTCCATGACCACGGGAAGTGCGTCTATGTCTTCTCCATTTTTGGCCAGCCCTCCGCCTCTCCAAAAAGAAAGGGAAAAAAGCCCCTGACCCCGGGAAGTGTGTCTGCGTCTTTCCTTTCTTCGCCCCCAGCCCGCCTCTCCCAAAAAACAAGAGAGGAAACCGAAGCCCTCTCGGCGAAAACAAACCAGACCCCCCCGGCCGAAGACTCCGGCCGACTTCGGCCGCTTTTTCGCTTCCCCCTCCGGACGAGGTGCCCAGAGGTCTAGGGCCACCTGGAGCTGCCCGGACTCCGCCGCGGTCTCCAGGAGCTCGCGGAGCCTCCGCTTCGTGTCCTCCGGGTCTTCCGCCCGCGCGCCTCGGCCGCGAGGAAGGGCTGGGGAGGGCGGGGGGGCAAGGGCCGTGGATCGACAATAAAGCGCGTGGACCGGGGGAACACGGCGAGAAAACACACAAAAACCCTGCAAAGCTTGGGCGATTTCTGCAAACAACAAGAGAGAGAGAGAGAGTAGATACAAAACGTCAAGTAGATACAAAAAGCAGACCCGGGAAAATGGCGAAACGAAAAAGCAGCCGTACAGCTTGGGCGACTTCTGCAAACAAGAATCAGTACTACATCCCGTGCTCACACTTTCTGACATATACAAGGTGCGCTTAAACGAGTTGCATCGAGTTGCACCCTGAAATGAAACGGAACACTTGGAAACCAAAAGCAAACCACACGAGGGCCCAACGCATCCCCATACTCCTGTTGCAAAGCTGCAGAAATGCAGCGCCTGAACCAAATCAGCCTAAACCCCACGAGCTTTCAACAGACACTGCTCACAGCAACCGACATACATTTATATACACATGTGTGTAATATATATATATATATAGACATATATATATAGATTTATACAATCTTACCATGTCCCACTTCTCCGGCGTCAAGGCTGATCAAGGTCAGCCGTTCATGCTCCAATCGCAAGAGGATCTTCGGACTCCTCGCCCGTATTCAACGGCAGCCTAAACCGATCAATGAAGGGAAGATGATTGTTGTGGCTTGATTACTTCTCAAGCGGCGCAATGCTATGTCAATTGAAGATGGAACACCCCCACCCAGCGACCTGCAACTGGAATCTGGAAGGCCCCCCCAATGCTAGATGCTTGCGTTGCATGAGGTTGCTCTAAGGTCAGCCGTCTTCTCCTTTAAAGAAGGGAAGCTTGAATGAGAAACCTCATCCGGTGCAACCTTCCTGCTGGGCACTTGTTTTGTCTGCACATGTTGGACTTTGGTGTGCGCGACTTGGAAGTTGAAACTTGAACAGAAGCCGCGCAAGCCGCGACTACTAATCAAGAATCATCTCAAATCATTTCGCTCCTGCGCCGCACGTGCAGCAGCACGGGAACTGACACTCACACCGAATTCCCTTGCGGCACAGCCAGAAGGTGTCAGGCGATCTCCCAGATTGTGGTGTGCCTACTAGATTGATCGAGCCGCAGCCGTGCTCACAACAGCGAAGCTCCACATCCACCTGCACTTCGCGCGAAGTCTCGCTGGTGAGCTGGGTAGCTGCGTCATAAGACCTGCTGATCTCCTTGGTCCAATGGACGTGAATCGCCTCCACATCGCGGCGCCAAAAGCCCTCCAGTTGATAGATCTCGGCATTCTGTCGGTAGCCTTTCTTGGTCTTCACCGTAGTTCCTGACTGCACTGCTTCATAGAAACATTTCAGAGGCCCTCTGAGATGGAACTCGGCTTGCCAGCGATCCTCCACGCTCCTGGCAAGCGTGGAGCTCCTGAAGGATAATGGCAGCTGATGGCTTCGCAACGGATCTTGGGATCCAAGAAATTCCAAGATCTTCCTGGCAATCTGTGGCTTCAGAGGCTTGAGGACCACCTGGATGTTGCGGGAGACATTGCCCATCAGCTCTTCTGAGAAGCCTGGAGTTCCAGGCATCACTTTGGGTGTCTTCGCCTTGGCCCGCTTCTTCTTCTGCTTCCCCTGCTTCACGGTGAACTCCTCACCAGCTGATTCCAGCTCCGTGGGGGTTTCCTTCTGGGCTGCAGGTGGCGCGGGCTCCTCTCTGTCGCTCTCGTCCGCGAGGGCGGCGAACATCTTTGGATCAACAGCCCGTGAGGATCTGGTCTGAGCGCTCTGGCTTTGCGGAGAGGTCGCAAATACAAGCCGACATCTTTGGTTGCTGTTGACCCCCCTGCAAAAAGTTTAGTCTTTTGGGGGTGTAGTGGAAAAAACCCTTGATTTCCCAAAAAGTTAAAGTCTAAATCCAACCCAGTAGCAGTCAAGCCTTCGACCACCCCAAAGAAAACCCCTACAAAAACCAATTGGAATGTTCGAGTTGCAAAACAAGACATCTAGCTGCTGGCTGGATTGAGGAATTGATCCTTGGACACAAGCAAACAAAGAAAGAAATAAACAAGCAAAGCAAAGCAGAGCAAAGTAAAGCAAAGCAAAGCAAAGCAAAGTAAAGCAAAGAAATAATAAAGCAAACAAACAAAAACGGAGAAGAAGCAAACAAACAATCAACCGAACAAACAAATACACACAACAACTTATACACGTCGTGATTGTGGGTCAACCAACAGCCTGTCATTTCACCTCCTCACTCTTTCGCACTGAAACTTGGTGACCTGCAAACCCATTTGCAACAAGCAAGCGCATCACGTTCTGAGGACCCCTTTATGGCCTTTCCGCGGGGGATATTTCACTCAACTGCAGGGCCCATCCCCCAAACATAATGAGCGGGGAGGGGGCTCCTCCCATCCTGAAGGAGGAATTGAGACACCCGAGCTCACTTGCTGCCAACCGGCCACCAAGCCAGTCCCCTTTCCCCCGTGTTCCCACCAGTACTAAAACTAAGGACCTCCCCAACAAATCGTCCAGAGTTCGCACCCCGCCCCCCTCACCCCCTCCCCCGCTCCGGGCGCCTTTCAGATCCTCCGGCAAGTCCCGCAGCACTTCCTGCAGCTCGCCCGAGTCTGCGGCCGCCGACAGGCGGTTCATCAGCGTTGCCTGCCAGCACCCCTCCCCCGTCACTTTCTTTCGACCAACCTGGTTTCTAAGCGTTTTTGGTATTACACCCTGGGAATACACCCGCTGGGTATTGACCCCATTCAAGCACATCTCCGGAACCGTGATACATTGAACCATTCTGGGTCATATCCCAAGGGTGTAATCCCAGGGTGTAATACAATAACCCTCAGATGGTTGCTTTCCGCTCCCCTGCTAAAAGTTTAACTTTTAGTTGTTTAATGGAAAACCCATTAGTTGGCAAACAGTTAAAGTCGTAACATCCAAGCAAAATGCACCAACCAGTTTCTTGGACCCACCCAATTTGCGCAGGCTAGAGGCGTAAACCAGTTAAAGGTGTAAACCCTTCCAAAAAAACCTACACCCAACCCTAAACCATAAACCAAACCAAAAACCAACCCCGCCCGCCCTACTAAGCTAATCCAACCCGACACCCAACCAAACTCAGCCGAAACTAAACCCACCCTAAACCAATCCAGACTTCTTACTTGTACCCAAAGCCCCAAAACCATACCTAAACTAACCCCAAACTAACGTTGGCCGGAAATGGCCGGAAGCCGGAGGCTGGAGGCCCGCTACAAAACTTTCACAGTGCGATCCCAGAACAGGTTGCGAGATTGGAAAACGAAGAAGCCGCCCAAAGGAAAGGACCCACTTTGCAACAAAAAAGGCTTGGAATTGTGAGACTGCTTTCGGGATTTACAGGCCAAGCCAGCAATGTCTGCTTTGCATCCTTGGCTATCTGGAAACTAGGAATCTGTCCGGGCCTTAATCTGCAAGCTGTCGTCCTGGACCGACTTCGACTTGATCTTCCCCAACGTCTCCTCCAGGCTCCCCGAAGATAGCGAATCCTCAAGGCGCTCGGCGCGACCAAGGAAGGAGCAAAATCTCAAAACCCAACGCCAGTGCCTGTGCCTTGAGACTGGGTTTGATTTTGTTGGGCTATAGCTGGCTTGCTTTGGTCAGGTCTTGAAAAGGTCTCTGGCATGTCAGCCTTGCTTTTAAGTCTTCGTTCCTCACTCAGGTTTTGGCGCGCCACCCTCAGGCAGCGCGCTAAAGAAGGCGCTGGGATCGCCATCTAAGTGAGATCGCAGAACCTGTCCGTAGAGTGGGAAAGTGCCCTGGCCTGCGTTAAATCGCTCTCTCTCTCTCTCTCATTCTCTCGCTCTGTTAATTTGCCATTGGGAAGGGGAAGAACCCAATGCCTGAATTTGATATCCACCCAAATATTTTTCCAAATGATGATGAAAGGTTAAGGCTGGGCAGTGACACACAAAAACGATAGCTCCTCCAACATCTTGCGCATCTTGTCCTTGATCTCCTCCACCTCCTTCTGTTCCTGTGTCACATCTTGCAGCATAGAGAAAATCACATGTGTTTATTCACGTGTGTGTGTGTGTGTGATTCATGACGCTTATTGCTTCAGTTTGGTGAGCGGTGTTGGCGTGTTCAAGCTTGCGCGCTTCACGCAGAGTTCGGCGCGCCCTTGTTCTCCGCGCGCCTGAGGTGAGATGAGCTGCAAGGCGTTGGACAGCTGACCAGATTCGGCGGCGTCAGCGAACACTGCCCTGAGACCCAGCTGCAAGTCAAAGAGGCCGTCTGCCTCTGAAGCATCCCAGGGCTCTGCCTCAAACGTTCCTTGGCTGCGCGAGCATGAACTGTCAGGCAACTTGAGCAAACTGTATACACCCAGGGGTGTTCTGAACTGAATGGTTCACCGACCCACCTGGAAGGGAATTTCGAGCTCGTTCATGCCGCAAAAAAATGGCAAGAGGTTGTGCATGCAGAAGGCAGATTGAGCCATTTCACCACATTTTGGGGGCTCACCATGTGTTAGCGCGGCCGTGGCTGACCCCAGCCTTGGCACATGCCGCTTCCGAACTTCCGGCTCCCTGCCTGAACGAACTTCTTCAAGTGCTCGGAGCAGCGAGTCGCTCTCAATGGCATCCTGGGCTTGGTCCGGATCAGCTGTGTACACGGCCTTGGAAACAATAGCACACCACCCTTCCTCTGTTACTTCTGTCTTTAAACAATACTCAAAGCCAGGAAAGCACTGGAAGGTCTAGCAACGATTTGGCGGACCAATCTCATGCTTCCAAAAGTCCAAAGGAAACCTCCTCGCAACAGTGATGTGCCTCGCTTTCCAAGTGCAAATGACTTGCGGCTCGCCTCCCCAAAGCTTTCAAGAGACCTGGCCGCAGATTCCTCGCATTAAAATCAAATAAAATGAAGAAGCACAATGACAATTGGGTTAGACAGCCGCAGCTGTCCGCGCAGGCGTTTGGAGTCCCGGAAGGCTTGAGCAAGTAACACAAGTTGCAAGAGCTGGCAAGTGCCCCGCTTCAGACACATGGCTTGCACTGTAGGGTTGCCAGTTTGTAAGGCAGGCCACCTCCCCGAAGCCACATGCAAAAAGGGCCTGGCCCATGTTTGCTAATCCGACATCTGGGTGTGGCACAAAATTAAACACGGGGGGGGTACGCAGGTTTTGGTCCATATTTCCACTTACCAGGGTTCCATTTTGGTACCGGTTTTATTGAGCCAGAGCCGTCTGTTAAGCGTGCACTCGCGCAAAGTGACGAACAGAGTGTTCCGCAGGTCGTTCTGGACAGCAATCATGGCCTCCAATCTGGCTGCCTCATCCTTAGCTGGATGCTTCCCCAAAACTTCGCCCTGCTGACGAGAGCCGTCAAGCCGTCATGGACATTCCAAAGGCCTGGGAAAACACCATCTCTGGGTATAGGTTCGACGACTGAAGCCTTCTTGCATTTGTGCGTACTGTGCTGCCTTCTTGACCCAACCTAAATACTAAACCATGATCCGCTTGGTTACAGCGCAGGCTTGGGTATGCTTCAGAAGCTGCGCGTTTGCGAGGCTGGGTGTGGGCTTCACTCCCCTTGCGCTTGCCGTGCAGCACTGAACACCAACCAAGTGGGGGCATGCAGCCCGGGCCATCTGAAAACCGCGGGCCTTTGAGCATGTCTCAACCTGACCCAACCATAACTTGGGCCCCTGGCAAGGCAGAATTCACACAACGTCCAGCATGCCACAAATCGGCAAACAGGTGGCCAAGTCTGAAAACTTTCAGCTGAGCAGCCACGAGCGCCTCCGAGGCAGCAAGCTCCTGACGTCTCTCTTAAACGCTGCGGGTCGTTGAAAAAAGGACCCAGCAGGTCCTGCGCGCAAAGCCCTCAGCAAACAGGCTTGCTGAGGCAGCGCCTCGCTCTGCTTAAACGTCGTGAACCCATTTAAACGATGACCTTAAAACAACCACAGCTTAAGCAAGGGCAGGTTCTGCGTGCGAACTTTTTGGGGAGCACCCGTCGTTGACACGGGTCCATCCCTTTTTTGATCGCCAGCCAGAGGCCGAGACAAAACCAACCGACGCCGACCAATGATGGTTGTTTTTTCTGAAATAGCGGCCTTGTCATTCAACACTTTGCCCTATATACTAAGAACAGCAAAGCATCCCCCCACCTTCCCCCAGTTTCTGATGCGACACCCCCCCCAAAAGAAAAAACAAAAACACAAACTTCTCCAGCCTTGTGCTGGAGGGCCGCATCGAGGCGCCCATCCTTTGTCGCTGCCACAAGGGTGGCCGCCGCCTCTTCCCGCAGGCCGTCTAGGTCCTGCAGAGCTTAAAGGCAGAAACAACCGAAATGACCAGACGGAAACATCGAAACACGTTGCAAACTGGTGCGTTTGTACTTGTGGCGCATGTGAGGCTTATGATACACCTATAAGGACACTTAGGAATATGGACTTTCCGGTTACATGCGACATAGCTTATAAGTACAAGGTATCGTAAGTTTCCAGCACGTGCCTTTTGCGTCTTCGTGCGTGTGTTGCGGTCATGCCGCTCGTTTGGACCAATTTCAATATGTTCTACTGCCACTGTGCGCTTCTTATGCGCATAGCCTCATGCTGCGCACCACTACTGCTGTATTGTGGATTTTCAGCAACTGCGACAGGACTGCTATAGCAGTCGTATCTGTCGTAACTATTTGCTTAGACAACTGTATTTGCAGTAGCTGGTTGGTCACAGCAGTGAGCAAAGCAGTTATGTCAGTTAGACAAACCAGCAGTTCAGTCGAACAAGGGACATGCGAGTGTTGGGACCTGGCCCGCTGCAGCTGCAGGTCTGCAGCTCCAGCCCCTTCAGGCGCAGATCTGCAGCTGCACCCTTAAGATCTGCAGTTCCAGCCGTGAAGGGGCTGCAGCTGTCTGCAGTTTTAGCCGTTAAGGGGCTGCAGCTGCAGATCTGCAGTTTCCGCCGCTTCAGGGGCTTACAGATCTGAAGCTGCAGCTCTTAAGGGGCCGCAGCTGCAGAATTGTAGCCCTTCTGTGCCAGAATCTACCACTGCGAAGCGACACACTCCGCTCCATCTTCACTCCTCTCCCACTCCGCAAACAAACCCACACTCCGAGCTCCACACTCTGCGTTTCCACTCCACCCCTCAAAACTCCACACCATGTGCCAAGCCACCACGCTCCACACTCCAGACTCCACACTCCGCACTCTGCACTCCACACTCAAGATACACTAGGTGAAAACATGACTTATATCTAGTATATGTGTCGAAGCGGACCAGTTTGTAAATAGAACCTGAGACCTCCCCGCCTGATGGGCAACAAAAGCGCGCGGGGCTTCTGCAAGTTCTGATGACATGCTTGCAATCTCTCCTGACAACTTTTCTTGCGTGCGATGCTGCGATATGATGCTGTGCGTGAAGCTGCGCGTGGCTGCTATGCACGATGCTGTGAATTCACGCTGCGTGCAAAGCTGCGCGAAGTACTGCGCATACTGGTGCGCATGATGCCGCGCACGACGCTTTGCGTGATGTTGCCCATGATGCTGCGCATGACTCTCTCTTGCGCGTGACGCTCTGCAACTTCTCTTGCCCAACCTCTCATATTCTTTTCTCTTGCCAACCAAGACGGCTGGCGGCTTTCTCCTACTCAGAGTTACTTGTTTTTTTCAGCTGGAGCTGCAGGAGCGCGCTTTGCGTACTACTTTTGCACTTAAAAGCACTTTGTGCTGGAAAGTTGCGATTTGACAAGTCGAAAGCAGGCGCCAGCAAAACAATCGCCGTGCACGAGATGCATTCGCACGGCGCCAGGCTGCGACACGCACGATCTCTGCACAGGGTTCACTGCTCTCAAGACATTCGCACCGATCTCCGCAGAGGGCTCGCCGAGATCAAAACAGATCCGCACGGCGCCAAGCCGAGTGCGCTTCGACAAGCACGATCTCCACGTTTCGATAGCTCCCGTGCGGCCTACTCGCCGGCAAAAAAGTAAGGCTCGAGAAGCGACTGCACAAAAGACCAGTTAGCTTGTGCTTTTAGGGTCGTGAAGCACCACCCGAAAAGTTGGCAGGAGAAGTTTGGCAGGGGAAGTTGGCTGGCGAAGTAGCGATCAAGAAGTCGGCAGGAGAAGTTGGCAGGTGAAGCAACCCAGGTGATGTAACTCCCGAAAAATTGGCAGGTGAAGTTGGCAGGTCGCGTAACACTGGAACAGTTGGCAGGTGATGTTTGCGGCGAAGCTTGCGGAAGCTCCAGCCTTGCGCTGGAGAGCAGCGTCCAGGCTCCCATCCTTTGTCGCTGACACAAGGGTGGCCGCCGCCTCCGCGCGCAGGCTGTCCAGGTCCTGCAGAGTTTGAAGCAGAGCAATATGAAAATTCTGGTTGGGTCATGATCACGGCGTCTGCTTTTCCAGCCTTGCGCTGGACGGCCGCATCAACCTTTGTCTCCGACACCAAGGCGGACGCCGCCTTAGGCTGAAAACAAGCAGCCCAATGGGATCTCTTGAGCCTGGTTGATTTACAGGGGGCGCCCCACTTTGAAGGACAGCAGAAGCTTCACTTCGTGCCAGCAAGTAGCCCGCCCTCGACTTCAACTGGATACCGGCCCTTCGCGACTTATTTGGTAAATCCGGTCGGCACCCCCCTCATGAGCCCAAAATCAGTGGATCCTAGGAAGCAATGGCTGAGACTGCTTAAACTCAGGAGCCGTTTGCCAGCCTCCAGAACGCCGCCAACATGCTGAAGCAGCCAGTCACCCTTGCACAAAGCCCTGTGGACTTCAAACTTGAACATGGGTTTCTGCTCCCGCGGGCGTGCTGAAACCGTCTATCCTCCTTGCACAAAGCCCTGTGGCCTTCAAACTGGACGCGCCCGGTAGAATTTAAACATGGGGGGCTGCTGAAAACTCCAAGTAGCCGTTTCAACAAACAAATGCTCCAGAACGAGGGCAAATGTCTGGTCTGCTCAGGGCGTCCTCCTTGAACAAAGCTCTGGGTATTCAATTCAAACTGTTTAAAGGCCCAAAAGTGCTGGAACAATGGGCTGGCCGCACGCTTATTCTTGCATGCGCTGTCAATCAGTAAACACGGAAGGTAGCAAGCTAGAAAACTAGTGAGCAAAAAATAGCAGGGGCATCAAATATAGCTGCCTATGAAGCAGACAGCTTCGGAACAAGGTACACCGGGACTTGACTCGGCCAACCAGCCTTGAAACGCATGAGCAAAACGTTGTGAGCGGAAAAAAGGCGTGAAGCTGCAAATCAGGCACGCGTGGGGGCAGAGGGCGGAACCCGGGGAAGCCGATGGGGTGCATGAACTTTTCATCAGTTTTGTGGCCGGGCCCACCCCCAGACCCCCTCAGTCTAGCCTTTCTAACGCAAGGACAAGCCCCCTTGAACCTCTCGTGACATGTGTCATCGTTGTTTTGGCTTCAGCGGATTAAACGAACGCGCTTACCCCAACCCGCGCCTTGGACTCCGGAGCGTCTGGTGCACAGGGGCTAACAGCGCGTTGCACCACACCCTCCAAGGTGCCGCTTTGATGCGCCTGGCATCTAAAAGCCGCACATCGAACGCGCTCATTTTGGTCATCTGCTTTCGCAAAGATACAAAGCATGCCGCACACAGGAAGAGACCCTTCATGAACCCCATGCAGGCCGTGCGCTGAATGTTGTTGTTTTCGAAAATTAACTGAGACCACCGAAATCGATAAGACATATTCTTGCAGCTTGCATGTCGGGCATGCTGTAAGCGCAAGCCAAGTCGTCGTCATCACCATCGTCACCACCATCGTCACCACCACCACCACCACCACCACCACCACCACCTTCGCCATCATCATCATCATCACCATCATCATCACCATCACCCTCTCCTTCACCATCGTCATCATCACCATCATCAGCATCAGTATCAGCATCAGTACCAGCATCAGTATCAGTACCAGCATCAGTATCAGTACCAGTATCCGTATCAGCATCAGTATCGGCATCATCATCATCATCATCATCACCATCACCATCCTCATCCTCATCCTCGTCATCCCCATCCTCCTCTTCCTCCCTCCTCCTCCTCCTCCTCCTCCTCCTCATCATTAGCATCGTTGGCATCATCATCCTCATCATCATCATCTTCACCATCATCCTCATCATTATCATTATCCTCGAGCAAAAGCAACTGCCTGGAGGCAATCAGAAAAGCTGACAATCGGAGGGTATTGGAAGACTGCTTGTTGGGGCAGCAGGCAATGCCGCTTTCACGGATGAGTCAACCGACCGCTTGTTGTCATAGTGGTGTTTCCAAAAAGGCACCCAATGAACTGGAGTTGTCCCTGGCTTGTTCATTCGCTCACCCCCTAAGATGCTCAGCCACTACCCTTCGAATATGCCTGCTCCAGCTTCTCCCGGAGCTGGTTGCGGAACTCCTGGACAGCGGCATACCCTCTCTACATGGCACAAGTGCACACACAGAAAGGCGCATGAGTCATCTCCTCAGTTGTTCAGTGACCCTGGAAAAAAAGGGAACCCTTTTTTGGGAAGACCATTTTTAGTGGGGCAGCCACAAAAAAAATGGAAAAAGGGTGCCACTGAACAACTGAGTCTCATGAAAACCAGGGGGAACGTCATTCAACACTCATTCGCGGCACATCCGTGCTGAATGTCGCACATTACTGCATGGGGTGAACCGGGAAAAGATTTGCCCAGCATGTTACCCGCCGTAGCGCAGCCAAAATCCCTCATCCTACGCTAGCCCCAGCTCCCAGGTTAACCTTTGGGGCTATGACTCAGCTACTGAGTTGCCCAAAGGACCCCACAATAAAATGTTAACCTTTCGGAGTTAACCTTTTGGAGCCAAACTAACGGGGAACCAAAAGGCTTGAAACGTGGGGAAACTCAGCGGTCAGGTTGGCTTTGGGCAAGTGAGCTAAGCATGAATCAAAGAGGGGAAGGTCAAAAAAGCCGTGCAAACGAGGAACATGAAGCGAGCTCATACTAGCTGAAGGCTCGCAATGTGGATGGTCGAAACATGGATTTCAGCTCTTGGCTCCCTTCCAAGCCCTCACAGGGTGCCGACTCCACAAAGAAACGCGCACACAAGCACACACAAGCACAGAGACCTACCCGTGTTTCTTGTATCAACTTTTGTACCCCCGTTCCACGAGGGTTGGAGCCCGACCCCTGAGGACATCTTCTCTCACATCCTTGCCAATGCTGAATCCTTAGAGCATACATATTCTCAGCGTCTGCTTCATATCTAGTCCACCCCCTAAATCTAAAAAGCGGTTGGAGGAGACCCCATAAGCACAGAAGCCCCCCCCGTCCTCCACGTTTGCTTGCGAGGGCTTCGCCGGCGTCTCTGGCTTGGGCCGCGGCCGGCAGTTCTCCGGTCGCGATGCAGGGGGGGGCACGGGCACCAGCGGCGCCGCAGCCGCCTGCGCCGCCTGCGCCGCCTGCGCCTGTTTCGCCTGTGGCGCCTGTGGCGCGGTGGCCGGGGACGTCGGGGACGTCGGGGACGCCGGGGACACCGGGGACGCCGGGGACGGCGCCAGGGCGCTTTTGGGGCGCCGCAGCGCGCTGCTGGGGCGGGAGGCGATCTTCTGCAGTGCTCCGGCACGACTCTGGGCGCAGGTAAGCCTCGTCTCACCAGACCGCGGGGGGGGGGGTGAAGTTGAAGACTTGGTGCTGTCTGAGGCTGATGTTGATTTCCTTTCTTGTCAACTTGGGATGTGCTGATCTTGTGCCACGCACCTCCGCACAGTCTCCACACAGGTTCTGCTCCCCCCCCTGCTCCACTTATGCTGGCCTCCCCCAACCGTCGCAAGAGGAACCGTCTCTGGGCCCCCCTGCTGTTCCATCATATAGGCGTAGGGGTCTTCAGGCTTTACTTGTATCACCGCATGGAGCATGGACTGCATGTACTTCAGCAGCCCGTGCTCCTCCAAGTAGTCCTGAGTGCGATTTCGGCTGAATCGGGCGGCCCCGAGCCAATGCTCAAGAAACGCTTCGAATTTCGGCGTTTGAGTCAAAACCAGCTGCAACTTCTCCCGGAGAGCCCTGCTTGGGCGCCTTGAAACTCAGAACGCAGTGGGGGGATACTTTCCGGACGTCCCCGCACGCACGCGTCCCGAAAGGGAGCCGTTTTCTCCTTGGCGCAGTTGGCCGCCTCCTTGGGGTTGGACGGCGGCTCCGGGGTGTCTGTGGCCCCGGTGATCTTGATGCCCAAAGCCGCGTCGTTGTCAAAGCTGAGGCTGTAGAGGTCCTGCCGCATGCCAAAAGCAACCTGTCAAGGATCAGCTGGGTGTGTCACACTTTTTTCTAGGGGTTCTTTTCAACCACCGGCCGTGTCCCCCGGGTTTTTGATGGTTTCCTGAAGAAAAGGATCCCTGGAAAGAATGGAAATGGAAGGTACCCCTAGAGTTTTGTGAGGGTATACCCGTGTTTGCAGTGTTGTGAAAGGGAAACCAGAAGGAAAACTAGCCCAGCTTACTTGCAGCGGCTGCCTCGAAAGACAGCCATAAAGGGGCTGCAAATATATCGGCCATTCCTTCCAGATGCCCCGTGCTGCAAACGTGTGGCTTGCTTGAATGCAATGGCTGTGGGTCAAAACCCGGTACCCCTGGTGAGCATCAAAAGAGGTGGCAAATGGATGCTCATCCACCCCAAAATGGAGCCATAGGTTATGCCCCATGGCCATGTGTCTTCATTGGGCAGGGGGGAATGGAGGGACAAGTGCTTACAGGGCTTACAGTATTCCGATCACTGAATCCCTTGGCGTCAAGACCAAAGGAGACACCACAAACGCCACAGCTATGTCACCAGCAACACTTGCGTCAGTTCATCAAGTGCAAAGGAGAAAGCTGACATCAAAGCACACTCTCTTAAGACGGCACATTGAAGATGCCTTGGTCTTATTTGGGGGACCCCCCCATTTGTGAAATTCCGCCATCTACTCTCATGGGTTCGTACACGTGGATCCGCTTCGGCGCCCCTTGTCAGGCTGAGCTCGGGCCATCTGCCCCGAAACGTCCGAAAACCATCAGATTGAATCCCAGAATTTGTAAGGTTCGAGTATTCGATTTGTTTGTTCCTGATCCCAGTTATCATCAAAATCCCCGTGTTGGCGGCGCAGTCTCAGCCATACCCACACCTGAAAGCGCCCTGGGTGATGGAAAACAAAAACACAAACATGCTCCCGAACCCACCCCGTGTTTCAGTCATTGGATCATTCCCGTGTTTTTGAGCACACTCCCCGGAAGACCTAGCCAACCTATCAAGCTGTGGCCCACCTCCATAGGTTTCCTTTTCAGGGAAATAGATGAGTTTCCCTGGCAGATGATTAAACCACCAGGTAAACCCGGAATCGACACCCATCTGTCTTTTCGAGCAAAACCGGCCAAAAAGGCCCACCTCTGCCCACCTCCCTCCGCTGGATCCGCTCGCTCCGCTCGCTCCGCGACTGATCCGCGCGCCTCCTTGGGGTGCAGCACCAGCCTGGCGGAGGCCACGGGCCGCAGCACGTCCACCTTCAGCGGCTCCGCCATGGAGCTCAGCTGCCCCGGGAACCTCGGCACGGCTGACGGCTGACGACTGACGCGACGGCCCGAGGCGCCCGGAGATGCCCCCGGAGGCGGTTTCAAGGCGAAGGCGAAGGAAACCCCAAAAAAAACGCGGCGTCAAAATGCGGCGAAGAAAGAAAGGTTGTTCTAGAAGCTGTTCACTTTTCTTTGATGTAGAATTCATCAACCAGCTTTCCCGTGCCGAATTGAAGACGCGTGCCTCTGCAACTTGACCTCGCCACCTGGCGTGAGGCGCCGGCGTTTCCCGCCCCCGACCCCACGCTCCCAACGCCCCCCGCTCCACCGGCGAGTGGCTTCAAGGGCTGCGAGGCCACCGAGTTGAGCGGCGCCTGGCGCCGGGTGCCGCCGCAGCGCACCGACAGCACGGCGTCCTGGCGGAAGGCGTCCATTTCTGGGGTGCTGTAGATCCCCAGCAAAAAGCTTCACTTTTTGCTGGTTGAAAGGAAATATGAGGGAAATCCCAAAAGTTGAAGTCTGAATATCCAACCCAATAGCAGTAGAGATTTGCGACCCAAACCAAAGATTTTCCCATTCCACCCCTGGACATAACGCCCTAGGGAAATACCCAACAAAAACCCGAAATGAAACCAACATAACGATTGGATTTATTTGGACATAGGCTAGAATAGTGCGATTCCACCAAGGGCGTATTCCCAGGGTGTAGTAGGAAATCCCTTGGAAAAATGAACTTGGATACAAACCACTGAAAAGGTCAAGCTACAGTAGGGTTAACTTAACTCGCTTCTACTTCCGTGGGGGGTGACCGGACAAACAGCCAGTTTTTCTACTGTTCGGAAGTGACAAAAAGCTTTCGCTACAGAATGCTTGACTCACTTTTTGCTGCTTCAAAATGTTACTCCTGTTGTTTTTGTCTTGCTGTTTTCTACTAAGATGTTCACCCAAAAAGTGTTTGTCAAGCAGGGTGTGGCAAGGACCCCGGGAAGCGGGCCCAGCATAGGGACCCACCCCCCGCCCTCACCCTCATGGTCTCCTCTGGGAGGCCCACCACATGGTCCACCAGCAGCTCCATCTTCTCCCCTCGATGTGTCAAACGCTGAATCCTCTTACCCTCAGCTGGGGGGGTACCGATGTGTCACAAGCTGATTCCGCTTACCCTCAGGGGGGGGGGGCCTTCCTCACCCATAGTTAAAATGGCCGACCCAGAACCATGCTTCAAGAATTATGAAGGCGGCCGCAGCCATTTATGGTTGGGATTGTTCCTTTTTGCTAACCTTCACTTACCCGGCTTTTGATTGTGACTCATTTGCTGTTGACAGGTGCCGGGGTTCAAATCCCGAAGCCACCAATCCAAACCACCAATTGAGGGGCCCCTAACTCAGCGCTCTTTGCGCTAAAGCTGAAAACACACCCAGTTGAAGAGCACAAACCTTGGCTCACTTCCTAAGTGGACTGGCCCAAAAAGGCCACCAAACTGTTTGTTTGCCACTAAAATGGCAAGAAACCTGAAGTTAGAACCAACGCAACACCAACAACAACAACAACAACAACAACAACAACAACAACAACAACAACAACAACAACAACAACAACAACAACAACAATCACAACAACAACAACAACAACAACAACAACAACAACAACAACAACAACAACAACAACAACAACAACAACAACAACAACAACAACAAACACCAACAACAACATCACCAACAACAACAACAACAACAACAACAACAACAACAACAACAACAACAACAACAACAACAACAACAACAACAACAACAACAACAACAACAACAACAACAACAACAAACAACACCAACAACAACAACAACAACAACAACAACAACAACAACAACAACAACAAC